CTGGAGCGTATTCGATCCTGGTGGGTGGAGTATGGTGTGGTTGGCACCCCAAGTCATTCTCTTGCTTGTAAGTTTCGTCTTTTGAAGAATGATTTAAAAGTCTGGAACAAAGAGGATTTCGGTAATTTGGTGTGGAGGAAAAATCGTGTTTTTTCTGAGATTGCTAAGATTGATCAGATGGAGGGCCAGGGCAATTTGGTGGAGTCCCTGAAACTTAGGAGGGTGGAGTGTCAGGCGGAGTTTGCTAAAATTGCTGTCATGGAGGAGATTTCGTGGAGGCAAAAGTCTCGAGCCTTGTGGCTTAAAGAGGGCGATAATAACACTAAGTTTTTTCATCGGCTTGCCAATGCTCATAGAAGGGGCAATCACATTGGGAGGATCCGGGTGGATGGGGTGACGTTTTGTAAGTAGGAGGTGATTTGCAAGGGTATTGTCGATTTTTGCTTGATGTTGTTTACAGAATCTGTTGGTTGGAGACCTTTGCTTGCAGGGCTTCATTTTGACTCTATTTCGAGCGAGGAGTGCTCTATTTTGGAGGAGCCTTTTTCTGAAGAGGAAGTTTTGTCTGCGCTGACGAGCTGTAACGGGGACAAAGCCCCAGGTGCAGATGGTTTTTCCATGCGGTTCCTTTTGGAGTGTTGGGAGGTGGTTTGTGAGGAGGTGATGGGTGCTTTTCATGCTTTCCATGCTCAGGGCTCTTTTGAGAAGAGCCTGAATGCCACTTTTATTGCTCTAATCCCGAAAAAGGAAGGGGTGCTGGATGTTAAGGATTTTCACCCTATCAGCTTGGTGGGGTGTTTTTACAAGTTGATTGCTAAAGTCCTGACTTCTAGGTTGAGGAAGGTTTTGAATGGTATCATTTCTGATTCTCAAAATGCCTTTGTGAGGGGACGGCAGATTTTGGATTCAGTTCTTATTGCTAGTGAATGTGTGGATTCCAGGTTGAGTAGTGGAGATTCGGGTGTTTTGTGCAAGCTGGACATTGAGAAGGTGTATGATAATTTGAGCTGGAGTTTCCTTCTTTACTTGATGGAGAAGATGGGTTTCGGTGCGCGGTGGAGGAGATGGATCCTTTTTTGCATTTCTAGTGCTCACTTCTCTGTCCTTGTGAATGGGGCTCCGACGGGTTTCTTCTCTAGTTCGAGGGGATTGAGACAAGGGGATCCTCTTTCTCCTTTTTTGTTCCTTTTTGTGATGAAGGCTCTTAGCAAATTAATTAAGAGGGCGGTCGAGTTGGGCTTTTTGAGAGGCTTTCGGGTGGATAGGGATGCTGCTAGTCAGTTGGAGATCTCCCACTTAATGTTCGCTGATGACACTTTAGTGCTTTGTGATGCGAATGCGTCCCAGTTGAGATATCTGAGATGCGTTTTGATTAGGTTCCAAGTAATTTCTGGGCTAAAGATTAATGTCGGAAAGAGCATTCTTGTGCCGGTTGGGGAGGTCCATGATATCAAGATGTTTGCTCAGATTCTTGGATGTCACACTGGCTTTTTTCCCATTTCTTACTTGGGACTGCCCTTGGGAGCTCCTTCGAGGTGTGTGGGAAGCTGGGATCCGGTTGTGGAAAGATTTGAGAAGAGATTGGCGGGATGGAAGAAGCAATACCTCTCCAAGGGGGGCAAGGTCACTCTGATTAAGAGTACCCTTTCTTGCCTCCCCACGTATTTCATATCTCTCTTTCAGATTCCTTCTTCTGTGGTTGAGAGAATTGAAAGATTGCAGCACAATTTTCTTTTTTTGGGGGGGGGGGGGGGGGGGGGGGGGGGGGTGAGTTCAAGTATCATTTGGCAAGTATCATTTGGTTCGTTGGGATTAAGTGTGTTGTCCGATTCGGAGTAGAGGTTTGGAAATTAGGAGATTGCTTCCTTTCAACAAGGCTTTTCTTGGGAGATGGCTTTGGAGGTTTGGGGTTGAGAGAAGTTGGCTTTGGAGGAGGGTTATTGCGATCAAATTTGGAGAGAGTATTGGAGGATGGAGTTCTCTTGAGGTGCGTTGTCCTAGAGGGGTGGGGGTGTGGTCTTTCATCCAGAAGGGGTGGGATGAGTTCAGCAAACATGTTCATTTTCGGATTCGAGATGGGAGAAGGATCAGATTTTGGGAGGATCTTTGGTGTGGAGAGCATTCTCTTACTCTTGCTTTCCCTTGGCTCTTCAGGATTGCTTTTCATAGACAGGCCATGGTGGTTGACTGTTATCATCTTGATAACGGGAGACTGACTTAGGTTGTTCAGTTTAGGAGGCATTTTCAGGATTAGGAGATTAAGGAGGTTACTCGCTTTTTGGATTTGTTGTACCGCCAGGTGATTACAATTGGGGATTTGGATTGTTGGCTTTGGGATCCTAACTCTCAGGGCCGTTTCGAGGTTTGGTCCTTTTTCAGGTGTCTTTCGCTTGGCTTTGGAGGTCCTTTCCCTTGTAAGTCTATTTGGCGGTCTAAGGCTCCTCTCAAGGTAGCCTTCTTTGCTTGGACCTCTGTCTTGGGTAAGATTCTTACTCAGGATAATTTGAGGAGAAGGAATAAAGTGGTGGTTAATCGATGTTATTTGTGTCGGAGCGATGAGGAGACTATGGATCATCTTCTGTTACATTGCAACATGGCTAGGGACTGTTGGGATTTAATGCTTGGTTTGTTTGGGATCCCTTGGGTCTTGCCTCGCTCCTCTAGAGGGTTGATTCAGGCTTGGAGAGGTTTCTCAGTGGGGGTTCTCATTCAAGATGCTTGGAGGGCTGCTCTTTTTTGTATTTGGTGGTGTATTTGGCTCGAGAGAAATCGGCGCTATTTCGATGGAAAGGAGAAGCCTTCTTCTATGCTTAAGTTTTCTATTATTTCTACCCTTTTTTGTTAGGTTTCAGGGAAAGATTATAGATCTATAGAGGAGATTGTTATTTTTTTGGCCTCTTTGAAGGCTTGAGGCGCTTCTTGGCCTTTTGTTTGTCTTTGGGTTTCGCTCCCCTTCTGAGCGCTTTCTTTATAAAATTTTACTTATCAAAAAAAAAAAAAGAAGAAGAAGAAGAAGAAGAAGAAGAAGAAGCAAGGGGAATGCAAGTAGAGAAAATTTGAGTTTTGAATATCTTCCCACAATAAGCCATGCAGTTGTATTTTGGGTTATAACCTCTTATGTAATGAAAATTGGAGTGATATATTTGAGCTCCCCCAAACCGCCCACTTTACTCTGTAACTAAATGGAGCACAATGAAAATGGATTGATATCTTCCTTACAGAAATAAGCAATTTGACAAGAAAAAAAAAAAGTTGGTGTTCTTGACAAAGCTCACGGTCCTCTTGCCTTTAAGATTGAAGAAAAAGAAAATTATAATAAGGGAACTTCTAAATCTACGTATAGGATATCTTATGAAACAATTATATAAATATGCATGTGACTGTGCATATAGGGTAAGTGCAGAAAACACCCCTCAACTATACTTTGAGTAGCATTTTTACCCTCTATTTGAAAAGGTGTGCAATAAACACCCCTAATCTTTTAAAATTGTGCAAAATTACCCCTCTGTCATAAATCTGACATAAATTATTACTGTAATACCTATTTTGCCCTTTTACTTTTTCCAAAATGCCCATTAAGCTGTGTCTAGGACCGAGACTTCAACTGCGTTAGCTATGGAGGATTCCGGTGGGTTTAACACTACCCAATCTCAAAACCCATCTCCAAATTCTCTATTTCTCTCTCTACAGTTCTCTCCTCAGATCTCAAGCACTACACATCTCCCTTTTTTTTCTCAACCTGAACTGAGAAAGTTGTTGAGTAGATTGAAAACAAAAGAAAATTAGGGAAAGTAATTATATGTTTCATGTGAGATGAGGAAGAAGACCACCACACACCATCTCTATTTTAATCTTCTCTCTTTGCAATTCATTCTCTTCTTGCTCTTCTACTCTGCTTCTCCTTATTCTTACCCCATTCACATCTCCGACAATGGCGGTGGCATAGACGCAGCCGGATTTCCCTCGATATTTGCAAAGTGTAGCTTTTGGCTGGAACCCATCGCCTCAGTCCCCAGCAACGGCTAAATCGGGTTCACGTTTAACTGCAGATTGAAACTTGTTGCCGGAAGATCCGAGAACGATTCGTCGGTGGGGACGAACAGGGTAATTCCAGCACCACCTTAACGGGCTTCACCTTCAGATACCCCCACGCAGCGGCGCTACCGCCCTCCGCCTTCTATACTGCCGCTTACCACCACCAATTTCATACCCATGGTCGCCACTCTTTCCTCTGCCATCTCATCGCGGCCGTCCTCACCTCGTCCTCTCTCTTTAGACGATATGCGCTTTTTGCTTACACTGAAAGGCGATGGTGGATGTGAGAGATAAGAAAGAATTGAGACACGCTCGCTATGGTGATGAAGTTGAAATGTGTGATGTGTTTGTGGTTACAGAGAGAGATTCTTGTGGAGAGAGAGAGGAGGGATATGGTTGAGAATTGAGAGGAGGTGCACAGTGGAGCGTTTTTTAGGTCGGAAACGGCCCACGCGATCTCTCCACGTTCAAGAGACCCCGTCAAAATTAAACGCTCCACTGCAAAACGACGATGCTTATTGTCCCTTTTAGTCTTTTTACAAAATTCTGTATTTTTAAATATTTTATAAAATTGTTGACTAAGGGTACTTTAGTCAAATTTGGTTTTAAATGTGCCACAGGGACTTGATTGCACCAAATTGAAACTTGAGAGGTGTTTTTTGCACGGGAGGGGTGTGATATGCACCGTAAGCATAGTTGGGGGGTGTTTTTTGCACTTGACCCCTGTGCATATACACACGCTCTCTCTTTCACACTCACACACCGAATTTCGACATGTTAAATAAGGACAAGATGAAAAAAAATTGGTCCTCATGGTAAGTGTCATTGCTACAAGGTAGTAGAAAAAATCCTGCAGTATTGACGGGTGGAACTATTTAAGTAATCATTTTAGTTTTAGAACATGGTGGTTGATAAGATACAGCAAAGTTTTTGCTTATTGATCTCTCCTATGAATTGCTATGCAGGGGATAAAGCTGGATCAGTATACATCAAATTGGCAGGTTGTCATGTGAAGGTAATTGCTCTGCTTTTTATGTGGTTAGCACCATTGTTGTACTACTGATTCTGTAAACCGTGTTACTGTTGGATTTATATTTGCAGTCGGACAGCAAGCATGAAGCTGCAAGTGCTTATGTAGATGCTGCGAATTGCTACAAGAAAACGTCTCGTAAACGTAATGTGTTCAGTCTGTTGACTTAAGGCTTGTATATATGTATTAGAATTTTAACTAATGGATTCTTTCAGATAATGGCAAGATAAACTTATTGTCCATATTGATATCTGATGCTCTGCAGAGGCGATAGCATGGTTGGACAAAGCAGTGAGTATGTTCCTCGACATTGGCAGATTCCATATGGCAGCAAGATATTGTAAGGTAGAAAAAATATTGTTTGCTCGACTTATTGCGTCAGATCTCTTTAACTCGTGGTTTGCTTCTCCAGCTTCCCCAATTTCATCATGCATAGATCTTCTCTTCTCTGAGCATTCAGTTTCAATAATGCTTAATCTCATACACAATGATGCTAATACGTGGTTTATAATAGCTGTATGGTGTAGGTTGTGGACTGTGTGAGAAAAAAAGTATAAAAATGCTTAAAGCTGTTGCTGACTTGAATTTACATTTCATTCAGGAAATTGGTGAACTATTTGAGGTTGAACAAAACTTTGAGCAGGCTATAGTATATTTTGAACGATCTGCTGAACTTTTCGAAAGTGAAGAAGCAACTAGCCTTGCAAATCAGTGCAAGTTCAAAGTTGCACAGTTTTCTGCTCAACTAGCACAGTAAGTTGCTCCAGCTAAATTGTATATTCCTCTATAAAAGATGTTGGTATTCTTCTTGTTAATCTTGACATTGGGCTCTTCCAATAAATTTTTTGTTTCTAAGGTCTCATGTCCTATGCACTAAACATTCTCATTCTCTTAGTTGGTATCATTGGCCTCCATACATCAAGTGGGGCTTGTCGCAGTATGGTTCTATCATCTAAAACTAGTCACCTGCTATTGTTGGTTGGAAATCTTCTCTATTGCTCATGGTATTTGTTTTGACAAACCACAACAAAGCACAAACATAATCGAGAAGTGACAGAAATGAAAATCACACACCACACTGAAAACAGAGATTTAACATGGTTCGGTTTATAGCATACATCCACGGGTGAAGACAGCTGCGAAAGATTTCACTATGTGAGGAATAAAAGAGACGTACAAGTCTCTTAAACCTTAACCCCCTGATACATTTGTTGTCTCTCTCTATTTCGGAATTCTCAATGTTGCATGAACAATACAAACCCTAGCACTCTTATATACTGTGTTACAATATAAATTAAGAACCGGGTCAAAAATAAATAAATAAATAAAAGAAGAAAGATCCAAAACTGTGCGACCGGACAAAAAAAAATCGGGCACAACCCAATAGTATTATGTAGTTGTGTTCATAGAGTTGTCATAGAAATATCATAAGTTACTAACACCCTTCCCCCCATCCTCCCCAGATTTTCTTTTATAATTGGAGTTACTGGCAAAGTTAAATTGCAAATGATGACTGGAAAGCGTAAAAAAAGACACGTCGATGTAGGATGTGAACTACTACTATCATTGTTTGATCTTTGTTGTCAAATAATCAATATAGCCCTAAAGAAAAATCATTTGAATAGAAAATATAAAAATAATAATTTTTGGATCCTTATATTTCTGTTCAAACATAAGAGAAATGTTCTGTTTCTCAGGTGTGGATTATAATAGATGTATAACTGTCTTAATCTAGAGCTGAAAATTTTGTTTGTGTTCATCTTCAGATATCCAAAGGCAATTAAGATTTACGAAGAGGTAGCACGGCTGTCACTCAACGTTAATTTACTGAAGTATGGAGTTAAAGGGCATCTTCTTAATGCTGGGATTTGCCAACTCTGCAAAGGCGATGTTGTTGCAACAACCAACGCATTGGAGCGATATCAGGTTGAAGTTTTGATATTCTTCAGCATAATTATATTTTACCCAATAATGGAGATCTTTAAAATAATAATCATAATAATTGCTTGTGCAGGACTTGGATCCAAATTTTTCAAGAACGCGGGAATACAAATTTTTAGCTGTAAGTGGTGGCTTTAAACAATATGAAGTGTTTTTTTCTGCTTTTTGGGCCTTGCATGCATTTCTTCATGTCTTCTTTTCATAGACCGTATAGTAAAGAGAAATAACTACTGGTTTGTATTCTTTTATTATTTTTGTTTCATTCAGTTAGGTACTTAATAATTTATTGACATTCATGATCCCAATATGATTTATTCTCTGTAGTTTTGTCATTATATTGTTGTCTGTTGACTATAAATGGTAGTGGCTGAATAGGGTTTAATTTTCTAATATGTCAGGACTTGGCTTCTGCTGTTGATGAGGAAGATGTTGCAAAATTTACTGAAGTTATTAAGGAGTTTGATAGCATGACTCCACTGGTACATTTCTTTCTGCCACTGAAATCTTTTTAATTGAAAGAATGAACTGCACAAAATCATGAAAAAATAACCCATTATAAGTTTTTACCTGAATGTTGGGCATGTATACTGCAAGTGACTTTGGTAGGATGGTAATGGTGATAATTCCATTAGAATTGACCATTTGCTAATGGTGATGAGCACATCTGTTACACATTTATTCCATGTTCTTCTGCTTCTGCATGCCGATTATGGTATATATTGAAGGAATTGAGGGCTTGCTTTGCCTTCTATGACAATTGGTACTCGCTGGTTTATTTCCTCATTTGAACATCTATTTTATTTATTTTATTTTTCAGGAGAACTAACATGGCTACACTTTTGTTCTCATTCCTCTAAATCGCTTAGCCTAATTTTTTTATTGGCTGCTTTGTGAATGTTGGCTGAAGTTGCCCAAGTTGCATACGAGTATAAGTATTCTTCTTTGTAGGATGCATGGAAGACCACCCTTCTGTTGAGGGTGAAGGAAAGTCTGAAGGCGAAGGAACTGGAGGAGGATGACCTGACTTGAAATTTATATGTCGATGTTTAGTCTGATGAAATATTACTCAGTTTGGGGTTTGAATCTAGCAAATGCATGGTGATTAGCAATAACTGTTGTTTATTCCTCTTATTTTTATGCTTGTTACCGGACCAGATGTATAGTGATGTGTATTTCCACTGGTCCATCTTGCATGTGTGCAGAATTAATATAGAACCTAGGATTATTTTAGGTATAACAATTGATGTGAAAGAAACATATTGATTCTTTTGGTTCTGATTCATGAAGAAGGGAGCTATTATTAGCTTAGTAATGTTTAATTTATTTTATTTATTTATTTTTATCACTGAACTTCTCTGCTGATGTACTTTTAAATCATACAGCGGGTTTAATCTTCTTATGAATTTGATTGAAGGTCGCATATTGGCTGCCAACTTAATGTACTCTAATCTGTGCCTGGACCTAGTATAAATTAAGCTGTCATGGTGTGTTGATGACGTGCAATGACATTAATAGCATTAAGGAGAGGGTGCTTGTGTAAAGTAAAATTGCTGCTTTTACTTCGTTTGCTTCTCTATAATTAACTTATTTTATTTGCTTAGCCTCGTTAGGTATGCGTTTTGTTTTTGCTGTTTTTGTTTTTGGGTTACTATAGTGTCGCTTTTGGTAACAAAAGCATGTTTGGTGCAGCCTTGTTTTATTTTACACAGTGCTAAAACACTTCGTGAACAGTACCTAAACTCAAAACAAGAAATTGGTGTTTTTGGATATTTTAGTACTATAGCGAGCCAAACACAATTGTAGCGGCCGAAGCAAAATTATACTTATTGCAACATTTTGGCTCACGTACAAAAGCAAAAGTTGAAACATTGTATCCCATTTTGCCCTAGATTTTCTCTCTCCTTTGGCTCTGGCGATTTTGGAGGCGACCGCGATATGTGAAGAAGACGCTTAGTTCATAAAAGGTACAAGTCCTCTGTAGCCCTAGACGTTTGATTTAGTGTTTTTGTAAGTGTTCTTAGGTTTCAATTTGTTCAATTTTGTCTTCGTGAGCAAAGGCGTCGATCTCATTGATCACCTGAAGTCACTTCTCTCCTCCTTCTCTACTCGAGGTCTGTCTACCGGAACTACCGATGCCCTCATCGTCAATGGCAAGCTCTCTAAGCTCCGAACCAAGCATGTGCTTTTTTTTTTTTTTTTTAATCTTTGCTGAGTTAGTCTTGATTCTTGAAATTAATCCAAAGAATTCTTGAAATTAGTTCAAAAGAGTTGAAATTATTGTTTAAGTGCTAGAAATTTCTTCTATTTGGTTGTTGAGAAAATATTTGCAATAAGATAAACAAATAAATTTAATCTATTTATTCTAATGTAAATAGGAGGAAACATAATGGAATTGAAATTTTTTAATGTATCATGTTATATAATTTTTTATTTTTTGAATTTTATTTTGCTGGGTTAGTTTTGACAATAGTTCAAAAGAATTGAAATTATTGTTTAAATTCTTATGTTTGGTTTCTGAGAAAATCTTGGCGAAAAAGATGCACTAAGTTTTTTAATCTAGTTATTCTAAGAGGAAACCGAATGGAATTGAAATTTTTTTAATGTATCATGTTATATTATTTTGGATATGTTAATGTATCATTTTTTTTTTTTTTTTTTTTTCGGTCTTGAAAATAGTTCAAAAGAGTTGAAATTATTGTTTAAAAGTGAATTCCTCTGGTTGGTTGCTGAGAAAATCTTTGCCATAAGATAAACAAAGTTTTTGGATTTCTTTATCGTATTGTAAATAGGATGAAGTGGTATGAAATAGAAATATTTGTTGGTATCATTTTTTTTTAATTGGGTATTTACCCCAATATAGGGGGAATTTACTTTTAGAGAATGTTCGCAAAGAAAAGAAATTAAGTATAATTTTGATATGGAGTGTGAGAATATATTTTGGTGACACTTGACATTGATACAGTGTATGTAACACATTACCAAGAGACATGCACTCTATTGATTGGAACATATATATATGGAAGGTGTTTTTTTGTGCGCGCGCGCAATATGGTTTGAGCTCATTTACCATAAATATCTTAATCCAAAATAACACTTTGAGCTATTATGTGCATGTGCTTCTTATAGTGTAATACAACTGTTATGTTGGGAACTTGGGGTTCAATTTGAGGTCCTCTTCTAAACTTCGGAACTAAACTTGAAAAAAAATTAATCATGTTTCAAACTTACATTACTTCATTGTTTACTGTCATATGCTATAGACAATTGGGTAATGTTTAACTTATATTCTTGGCATGTGCTCTCTGATGTGTAATGTACTACAATGATGGGATTCAATTTGAGGTCATCTTCAAAAATTTGGAACTGAACTTGAAAAAAAGGTATGCGTACTCTAAAGGCTCATAGAATTTTAATGATTGATTAATATATGCGTCTGACCAATGGAGATAACTCATTCAACTTGACTTTTTCATTTCCAGGTCCACTATATATTGTAGACAAGCTGGACTAGTGCTTTTGAGATGTGTTTTTTGCTGCAGTTAGAAGAAAATTGTAATATTTGCTACCATGTATTATTTACAGTTTACCTCTTGTAATAGATAATACAATTGAAGAGTTGTGTATAGAGATTCAAAACAGATTTATGTCAACTTTTAATATAGGTTCGATTATTTGTTCATTATATACAGGTTGTATTTGTATATTGTCATATTGTTATATGCAAGTAACTAGTTTTTATACTCTATTCATACAAAGAAGAGTAGTAGTACTCCAATGCCACAAGTCAGTGTTATTTCCGGTGCCATTGTCAATCAGTTTGGCCATTGTCATCTATGTATTGTTAATGCTTTGCTCCAAACATTTTATGTAGAACTTAAACTTGTTTAATAAATTTGTTGGTTGAATATTTAAGCACTTGTAAATGATTTACTCTCTATTCCACTTATGTTTGCAGTTGGGTTTGTTCTTATTTTTAATGTTGTGTTGGACTATACGGATAAAAAAATTGAAGCAGGTTATTGCAAACAATTTGTAAATAAGTTATTGCAAAAATAATATATATATATATATATATATATATATATATATATATATATATATATATGTTTGTGTGTTTAAATTTATCCATATCTATTAAAAATATGATTATTATTTATATATAAATTAATTTATAAATATACGTAAAATTTATAAAAATAAATTAAAAACAATGATAACCAATTTTTTTTTTTTTTTTTTTTTTTTTTTTTTTGAGTAACCAAACATATTTTGTTTTCAAAATTCTTGAAATGCATAACCTACCAAACATGTTTTTGTTTCCGATATTTTCATAACAAAATATCGTTTTCAAACGTGCTTCTAATTTTTTTTCCAAAATACTCTTACAACAAAAATACTGTTTCTATTTTAGCCAAAAACAAAGCTCATATCAAACGGCCCTTATGCTTCACTTGTTTGGCTTCACTCCCTTCAACAAATTGAAATTTGGTTGTTATTTATGACAGAGTAAGAAGTATATGCATGTGGATGTGGTGTTATAATTTTTCTCATCAGTCGGTAGTTGTAGCATGGAATTGTAATAGGTGAAAGATGGTTACTTTTTTTCCCTACACTTTTGAAATTGCTTTATAAAGTACAATCTGAAAATTGAAAACACAATAGTAAATTATTAATGATATGACACATATATTTTTCATTATATTTCAGAATGAAATTTATCATCTTTAGTTCGTCACTGTTGGTTTCAAATTTGCAATGTACCATTTGCCCTAAAGTATTTTCGCCATGGGATGCAAGGAGAGAATTTGAGTTATCATCCACCATACCATGTAACTTGATTAGCTACTTTCTTCGCAGAAAGATGCTGACCACCAAAAGAAAAAAGATGCTCCAAAGGCTTTTGAGCTTTCAGCTATGTCTCTTCAGACTCTTCTCATGTCTTTTAATTTGCAATTCACCCTTTACGCTCCAATCTCAGTCTGGTTGTAGGGAGAAAAAGTGGGGAGGATATGAGAAAAGTTAGAATGTTTTTGCAGTTACTAGACCAACAATGTAAATAAAAAGTGGTCATAGCGTAAGTCTCATTTGATGTCATCTAATCTGATTGCAAAATAAGCAAGAGATTAGAATGCTAGTGATATTTGAATATTTGAGTGATTTTACATGCCTTCTTAAAGGGATATTTGAATATTTGGTACTCTTCTTCTTACTAATTAGAAAAATAAGTGGCTATTTATATTGGCAATCTTAAAAAAATTTACATGCACTACCGAAACTTTGAAAATATAATATGCATATAAATAATCTCTGAGTTTTGAAATTTGACAAATTAGCTCTGTTTGTCAATTTTGACCATTTTTCTTATAAAAATTCCAAAATAATCTTAAGGGAATTTTAGATTTTTTTAATTTAAAAAAAAGAAAATTTAAGTCAAATAAAATATATAACAAAAATAAAATAAAATATATATTTTAAAAAATACCCTTATTTTTTATCTTATTTATTTATTTTTTAATTTTTGCTTTTTAATTTTTATGCCACAAGCACTAATCAAGTAATCAAGTATTTCCACCTTCAAGGAAATAATAAGCTTGTCCCCACAATTTTTAACTCTCTTTTAAATTATATTAGTTACAATTTAATTTTTGAATAAATTACACTCACACCCCCCCAAGTTTAGGTTAAAGAAAGGTAGTTACAACTTAGGCATTGTTTAGACAATGACACACCCCTAATTTGGTAAATTAAATAATGACACCTCAAATTAAGATAAAAGTACCTTATTGTCATTTGACTTACAAATTTATTAGTTTAACCTTCCCAAAACCGTTTAGTGAACACCATTTTAATATGAGTAATGATAGGAGAGTCGAAAAGGAATCTCCGAATTAGTATCGAATTTGACGTGGCGTGTTAAACAATTATTTTTTAGATACTATTTAAGTAAATGAGGTAAACAAAAACACGTCGGAAAAATCTTTCAGTGTCCTATCATTTTCCTTTTAATATATCTCTCTGGTAGAGCTCCTCATGTTTCTCTGTCTACATATATATATATAAATATACAAACACATGCATACTGATTGATTGGGAGATGCATCAAATTTAAACAGGCGTTAGGAAGCTTGATGTCAGTGTCTGGAGCTTCAAACACAGTGCTTGAAGTTGTGGTCTTTTTATTCAAGAATGTCCATGATCCAATTGCTCGGAAAGGTCATTTTTTCATAACTCCCTTCAAATTGATAGTCATCCATTTTTCTTTATATATATAATTATGTATATCAACTATAACATTAATCCTCACCTTAATTAAAATTTTGAAAATTTCATGTCCAACAGTTTATTCTTCGTTTAAATCATACACAATATTATGGTAATTGCTATCATTGTTTTATTGATTTTTCTATGTACCTTTTATTTTTATTAATAAATTTTCAAGGTTCCGGCCCAATTCTCTAGTCGCCAAACTGTGAGAAAATGGGATTATTGGCGCATATATAATCGTGCACAAAAGCTCTCTAAACCAGGTTTACGGTTTACCTTATCATTTTTTACTTAAACAAGTTACTTTTTTTTTGGAAACTGTTAAATTACTGTTGAGATATGAGTTTTGGACTACAAGGTATTACGCTGTTATTCCATTTGGTCTCTAGAAGTATGTATTTTTATTTTTTCTTTTGGGGTCAAGTAGTTGGAAATGGAAATTAACAGTTTATGGAGTTATATTATAGTACATCAACTTGTCTTGTGATCATAATTTGTGTACACTACTACTGTTATTATGTAATCATCGGATTCATATTAATTTAAATAAGTGAATTCATAAATTAAAGGATAATAAAATGCTTTTACGTTGATTTGGGGTGTCCTTCAATTTATTAAATTTAGAGGTGCCATTGCTTAAAAGGTGCTTAACTTATGACCACCTCTTTAACCCAAATTTGAGGGTGCAAGTGTAATTTATTCTTAATTTTAAATTTTTATTTTTTTATTGTTAAAAAAATTATACTTTAATAAAGACAGTCTTCTACTGAAGAAATAAATAAAAGATCAGATCATTAAACCTGCTCATTTCTTTTAAAATTTTCCTTAAACTAGTGCATAAAAAGACACTGCACCAACTGAAAATGACAGACACTTCCCCTAGAAACGACATTTCTCTGCCGTCCGAACCCATTTTTATATAGCGAAATTAACGCTCATCGCCATGGCCACTTCCTTACTCACTCAATTTCAAGTCTTCAACAAATACCAAAACCATTACCTAAAACAATTCACTTCCAAGTTCCATCCATTATCTCCATTCACTCCTCACAAAACCTAGCTTTCCCTTCAATGGCGTGTTTTTCTTCTTCGCTCTCTTCACCTCATTTTCCAACCGATTCGCTCAAGCTCCGCCGTAGGAATTCGCCGGAAAATCTCTTATCTGTTCGGAGAAGTGTTGTTTCTCTGCCGTTGAATGTATCGGTTAAGAGTTCTTTGTCGCTGAGGCGATGGTGTGGAATTGGAGTGACTCGCGCCTCTACTGAGGTTCTTGATGATCAAATTGTGGAATTGGAGAAGGGGAAAGAGAAAGGGAAGATTCTGAGAGTAGGACTCATCTGCGGAGGTCCCTCTGCGGAGCGTGGAATATCACTCAACTCTGCAAGATCAGTTCTTGATCACATACAGGTATATATATATATACATATTTATATTTATACACACCTAGAAGCCCTAAACAACACAATTCTTACCGGTGAGGTGACGAGGGATCTCTTCCGAAAACAATACTTCCTCCTGCCCTATAAGCTCTGTTGGGTGATGTGGACCAAAGATAAGATGACACGTGTCATAAAGTTAGTATAATATTAAAAATCTTTTTTTGGAACGATATAATATTAAAAATCTTGACGCAATGATTGAATGATACGTTAATTTTGAATTTTAAATATAAGAAAAGAAAAGGAAAGTTAAATTTTTTTTTTTAATATTTTAAATTAAAAATGAACAGTATTAATTCCTAAAAAATGATTTTGTAAACTAATTTTTTTGGTTTAACTATTAATTTAGCAATTAGAAATTTTTTGGTCAATTTATAAATTTTAACTGTTAAATGATTGGTTAAATTTATGAATATATTATAAAATTATCCAAATGTTTTTTCAAATAAAAATAATAATATATTACTATTTTATAGAATGAAGTTTTTTTTTTTTTTTTTTGGAGAAAAAATTAAAATTGACTATCAATGTTCCGTAAATTGCAATTATATAATTATAAATTATAAGGGATAATTAGGAACTAAAATGCAAAATTTTATAAAAAGCTGATAATAGAATTTTTTGGTTATTACAAGGATAAAGTAGGACTTATCCGTGGAAGTATAGATATAAAACCAATCTAGTAATCTGATTCTTATAAGTAGTGCTCTATTAGTTGTTGAGAAATTGAGTAAGAAAAAAAGCAAAAGGAATTCGGAGTACAAGACTGGGCTGAGTTAACTTTTTATATTTTTAGTAGGCCAAATGAACGGAATATAAAAATGGAGCACTTTGGTGTCATATATTCTATTATTAGAGACTGAGGATTAAGCTCTGATTCTTTGTAGTTTATTTGCAGTAAACACTGAAAAATATACTTTTGGTATTTTGACTGTGTGATATGATAGATAAGCAGTAAAGCAGGGGACTGATTCTCTTGTATTGTACCAGGGGGGTGATTTGCATGTAAGCTGCTATTACATTGACTGCAATCTTAATGCATATGCAATATCCTCAGCTCAGGTTTGTTTAGATGCGTTTCTAAAACAATATACATTATCAAGAAATGGTTTTCATTGGGAATTTATATTGCTTTATTGGGAGATTCTGAATTTGAAAACGATAGACAGACCTGTTACGGCTTATTTGAAAACATTTATGTGCTTGTAACTTGGGCATTAAATAAATTAGGTTGTACCAAGATACATATTACATACAGGGTCAAATTGTCGGATGACTTGGTGTTTGCTGGGGAAGTTTTAGGATGTATATGGTGTGAATGCAGAATCCGTAATTTTGTTTTTAAGCTTATATTTGGCTGTAGTTTCACTCTAATTGTCTACTAAATCTTCCATTCTTGTTCATTTTTTGACAAAGCAAGTTTTTTAAAACTCAAAAGTAAAGATAGTATTCTCCAGCTCAGCTCTTGCTTAGTTTTCATGGTCCAGTTGATATTAATTAATGGTATGTGTTTGGCTTATATAGTATTTGTTAGGCCTATCATTTTTGTGTTGCAGTGCCCATTTGAATTTTCTATCTAGTGTCTACTCTTTTTATATTCAGGCAGTTGCTGCTTAATAAGTTTCATGGCCATTGGTAACAAGCTTTCGTTAGATTCAATCCTCTCAAGATATAGAGTAGCCATCTTTTTGGATGATGATTTTTTATTTGAAATTCTGATCGATGGCATGGATATCTTTTTCTTTTGTCTCTATTTATTATTATTATATTATATTTGTTCTTGTTTGTAATTTGTATGAAACTTCTATAGTACTATACAAATCTTTTTATTTTTTGCGTGTTAAATTTTTACTATAGGTATATTCAAACACTCCTGCAGATTTTGATTTCAAACTTGAAAGGTAAGCTGTTTTAACTTTGGTATATACTCTGCAGTTTGTTATTTAAATTTTGTGGATGGCTAATTTTCTGTTTTTGCAGCCTTGCCCAAGGTTTTCAGTCTTTGTCCGACTTTGCAGAACACCTTGCTGCCTCTGTTGACATAGTTTTCCCTGTGATACATGGTCGGTTTGGTGAAGATGGTGGCATTCAGGTGTTACTTATAATGGAACTTGAAAAAATTTATGCATGCTGCAAAATTTTCAAGTCAGAAAAGTGGCAATAATTTACACGATCTTTGTACATGTGGACTTTTTAGGAGCTATTGGAAAAATCAAATATCCCATTCATTGGCACACGTTCAAATGAATGTCGTAAAGCTTTTGACAAGGTAACCTCCTTTAAATTCTCTCTCTCTCTCTCTCTCTCTCTCTCTCTCTCTCTCTCTATTCGAGTACACCATCATTCTCAAACAAAGATAATTCAGAAGCAATGTTTAATCTGAGCCTTATAACAAGTTTTGGGTTCCTAAGCACTGTGAATGGTGGTGGAGGAAGCGTCATTTAATGACCTCAGTTCAATAGATATCAATGCAAACCTATTATATTCGATTAATAACTTCCTTCAAGACTTAATTGAATATCAGGTCTACTTTCATTTTACATGAGAACAAATTGAATGCTTAATCTTACATTTTAGTCCGGAAAAATAAACCATGTCTGATGATGTTAATGTATTAACATGGATCGTATTCCTATTACATTTACCCTTGCCATATTATCTATTTGATTAGCTGATGCCGATGTTTCTTTTTCTTTTTTAACTGTGCAGTTCGAATGCTCATTGGAGCTTGGCAGACAAGGTTTTATTACGGTTCCCAGTTTCCTAGTGCAGGTATTATCTTCAACTGTTTCATGCTTTTATTGATATATATTGAACTGTTATTTCCATATTTCTATTTTTTCTTGGGTCAAATTCGTATGTGTCTGCTATGCATTGGTAGAAATGATACTGGGTAATACTCTCTCTCGCTCATTTTTTACATGTCTGCCCTGTATCGGAAGTTGATATTGCCTGCAAAGAATTGTATGCGACCATATTATGATTTTTGATAAGAAAACTGGGTTGGTTAATCAGAGTTTGCAGATGCAAATTTTGGGCTGTGAAACGTAATAGAAACGGGTGTGGTTGTGAATTTTTTGACCTTGCACATAGGACCCAAAACGCACCAATACACAAAATTTTACCAGGGAATCCAATAAAAATGGATTTCTAATGAGTTTTAGTGATTTTTGTTGAACTTTTAAAGATGTTTTAATACAAATAATGATTTATACATGAATTTTAAGTCTTTTTTGGCAGTAATAATTTACTTTTTACTAAATTCACGAGTAAAAATTCACTTGAACATGAAACAAATGATAATCTATGACATAAAACCCATTAATACATCTTACAACTACATAGTCTCAAATGAGAAGGGAAGTAAAACAATACCTGAAGTGGGGAGGTAAGTTAAGGTTGAAATCACCACAAAAAGGAGTGGCATAGAGGATCTGATCTTGCTGCATATGGGAGTTGCTTTCATCGCGGGTCTACCAAATGGGAGTAAATATGTTCCCATGAAGTAAGACATCATCCTGTCGTGGTGGATCCTGCTGAACATAATAATATGAGGCCATGTCCATTGTTGTGCCTAAGGGATAGGGGTAGCTCTGCTGTGGGCGTGAGTGAGTTTCTTGCCAAAGGTACAAAAAGATATATCAAATATTCAACCCTATCATATTTAAGTCTATTCCTTGACTTTGTGGGGATTAGATTGATAGTTCTCCAATTGGGCTCGCAATTAGATTAATTTGTAGTTTGATAAATTTCTCTCATTCCGTCAAGGCACCATTTAAATGTTATCGATTCTCCCCAAATGTAATCATTCAAATGTTATCGATGTTCTCCAAATGCTTGATATGCTCATTATCTGTATTTGTGTTATCTCCTAGTTGGAAACCTATTGCCGTGCTATTTCTAATTGTATCCTGATATCAAATGCATTAATTTGTCTCTATCTATTTGGTATATATTCACCAGTAGTTGATACTGATAATATCAAATTTAATGCTCTTTGTATTCTATTTCAACGGGTCCAGCTCATGTTAGTATTGAATTTAATTTTGTATGGGTAACGAGTCAGAGCGTCATTTGATATTCAATATAGAGTCAAAATGTAGGAAATGAATTATGCGGTTCTGTTCCAATTTTGTCGTTTCTGAAGTTCAATGTTTCTGCTTACACTACATTTGGCTACAAATGGGCTTGTAGGGAAATGAATGGGAAGAATCTGATCTATCAAAGTGGTTTGAAAGAAACCAACTGGACACTAGCTTTGGGAAAGTTGTGGTAAGCTTAATTCCTTGGTTTTGTGTTTACAATTTGGTAACACTGATGCTGAGATAGTTAAGCCTTTGTAAAGATTCAGGCTTCTTCCTTGTATGATTGCAGGTAAAACCTACGAGAGCAGGGTCAAGCATTGGAGTTACAGTTGCATATGGTGTTATTGATGCTCTCAAGAAAGCTAATGATATTATTTTAGAGGTACTCTCTCTCTCTCTCTCTCAAATTATTCTTGACAGAATCCCCATCTCCTCCCCACACCCCTTCTCAAAAAAAAAAAAAAAAAATCAAAGTTCAAGACAGAAAACTAGGCTCATGCCATTGATGCTATCTAATAAACTACTGATTCTTCTTCTGTTTGGCAGGGAATTGATGATAAAGTCATTGTAGAAATTTTTCTTGAAGGAGGGAGTGAGTTTACTGCCATTGTCCTTGATGTGGGTTCAGGTTCTGACACCCTTCCTATTGTACTACTGCCAACAGAGGTATATTTCCTCTCAACATTTAGCTATTGATTTCATGTCGCTGGAATTTGAAACCCCTGGTTTAGTTTATCGGGTGACATTTATGTAAAATGCATGTCATTCTGAGTTGTGTGTCATGAACATCTTCATGGCTTGGGTCTACTCTTTTGGGATGCCTACATCCACATTCAGATATCTAAAAAGGGAATTGGCATGGTCTTAAAGAGCAGAAAGAGGTAGGAAGTGCAATGTCATTTTTGCAGCTAACTTCTTGAATTTGCTCTAAAAAGAGTTAACATAGAAGTCCCAACGTCCATTTTTAGTTGAAATTTTAGTTCTCCTATTGGAAAGGAACATTTAGTTGATGTGCCAAACTGGTGTTCTATTCCAGAATAACACCTGTATATAGATATGCACATAGTATACTATCTTTTACGTAAAGGATTTCCATTGTAGTAGTATATGTATTATTCTTCCGTTGGTGGCCTACAGATCCTTATCATGGACTTGAGTCTGTTCCATCTTTTTCATGGGTAAGTCTATCCTAATTATAACTTAAGTTAGTTGGATCTTCACTTTTCTAGTGTTCTCTTCTTGGTGATCAATGGTCGTTATTATAAACCTCGAGTTAATGGAACCACACTCTAGTGCAGCTCTCTTAACAATGACCACCAGATTACTTATTAATTGAATTTGATGGATAGACACAAAATAGCTATTGGTACGAGTTAAGGACCTGTATAACTCCATTCCCAGTCTCATAAGCTCTTCAAATCGAATGTTAAAATGCTCTGCTCTTTATAAAGCATTATAAAGTGGCGTTTCCTATCTCCAACTTTTGTCATGTATTTGTTAATATATGTATGTATGTAAGTACCAAGTTCACTTTCGTCCTTTCATTGCCTTGTGTATCTTCTGGAAATTTTTTTCTGTTTCTTTTTTTGGATAGGTTGGATACGACAACAACAAACAACCAAGCATTTTTTCCAAACGACTTGGGGTCGACTACATGAATCCTATGCTTCCATTCCAATCTGTTTAAGGCCATAATCTCAGTCAATCCACATGCTATCATATCCTTCCTTGCTAACTCTACCCATGTTAACTTTGGTTTTCCTCTTCCCCTAGAATGACCCTCAATGTGGACTATGTCACTTTTTGTAACTAGCGTGCTTAAAGGTATTCTTTGCACATGTCCAAACCATCTTAACCTATTTTTTCTCATTTTATATCCAGTTTGTGCTACTTCAACTATTTCCCAAATGTGATCATTTCTGATTCTATTGTTTCTATTCTTTCCGCACATCCATCTCAACATTCACATTTCCGTCACATTCACTTTATGATTATGTTATTTCCTAGTTGCCAAACATTATTTGCCATAAAGTATGGCTGGTCTAATAGCTGTTCGAAAGAACTTCCCTTTCAGTCGTAAGGGCCTATCACAAAATATACTAGATGCACTCCTCCATTTAACCTATCCTGCCTTAATTCTATGATTAACATCATCTCCAATTTCTCATTCATTTTGAATAATTGAGCCTGAATAGGGAAATTGTTCACTATTTTGTACTTCTTGATTCTCAATCCTCACTAAATGCTCACTTGTATTTCTAAATTTATTAAAGTTACACTCCATAAATTTAGTTTTAAATTTTTGTTTATCTTAAACCCTTTTAATTCTAAAGCTTCTCTCCAAACCTCCAATTTGGCATTAATCCTTCTCTACTCTCGACCAAAACAATATCATCGACAAATAACATACACGATGGAATGTCATTTTGGATGTGTTTAATCTGCTCATCCACAGCCAAGGCAAAAAGGTATGGGCTTAATGCAGACCCTTGATGTAAGCCTACAGTAATTAGGAGTTCACTTGTTTCCCAGACATTCTAACTATAGTCACACAACCATCATATATGCCCTTTATTGTGTCAATGTTTCCCTTTATGACTCCTTTCTTTTCTAAAACCCTTCATATTAGATCTCTAGGTACCCTATCATAGGCTTCTCCAAATCAATAAAAACCATATGGAGATATCTCTTCTTCTCTCTATTTCTTTCCATTAGTCTCCTCACTAAGTAAATAGCCTCCATCATTGACCTTCCCAGCATGAATCCAAATTGATTCTCCGACACTTAAGTCTCTCGTTTTCGGGAGATTGGATAAATTAAGAAAATTTGAATCTGTCCAAAATATTTGGATTGTCCTTAAATGGGCAGAAATTTAATGTGGTATGAAATGTGTTGCTGCTCTTTATTCTCATTGGAGTGATAGATTGCCACCGAAAATAATAAAATTGGCTGCTTTGGTTGCAATAGCAAAAATAGAGTATTGTCATAAGCTTGAGGTTCAACGCATTTGTAAAAATGAATAGAATGCGAATGAGCAGTGAAATGTAAGTTATGCTAACCAGTTATGAGATGGAAATCTATGTCGGGTTAGTTGTGTTGTGACTGTTGTATCAGTATATTGCAAAGCTCGGCATTTTATTTGGTTCCTTTGAACACATAGTTATGGAGAATTTGGATTTTCTAGGTTTTTTTTTTTTTTCAAATATTAGACATGTTGAATTCTTCTTGCGATAAAAAAAATAGAATTTTTTAATGTAGTAACACAGTGATATCTTGTGTTCATTTAGAATGGAATGAAAAGTGTTGGAGATAAATTGGCCCTAAGCAGTGTTGTTATGTAGGTCTGGTTTGTAATTAATTTAGTCACTTGTGTTGTTTTGTAGATCTAGTATCATTCATCACAAGGATTAATCCAGTCACTCTATAACAATTACACCCTTACAAGTTGAAACCCTGACTTTTAGTTTCTGTTTCAGAATTTGACATCTACGCATTTTACTTTACGCATTTTACTTCGATTGTTGAATTGCCACAGAGATGGGATTAATATATCAAATCCAAAATAAGTTCAAAATCAAACTGAACTTTATGCATAGGAGGTTTAAATCAACACTTGAGTAAATCCGTGTCACCTTGGAAGTGGAATTCAATTTTGGAAATCTTACATTATTATTATTTTTTTTTCCTAGTTGGTACTCACACACACTTGTCTCTTCTAAGACTTGAACCCCTGACCTCCATTTATGAAGTAAGAGGCTGATACCGCTAGGCCACTGGCCCGTTGGTGAAATCTTACATTATCTTCATCTAGTCTTATATAACTGGGTCCTTGTGTGTAATTGCTACAGCCTAATGGATGATTTATATTTAATTCTATGGCATGGATAATCAGGTGGAACTTCATTCCCATGGCAGTGCTGATGTCAATGAGAAGGATGCCATATTCAACTATCGAAGGAAGTATCTTCCTACACAGCAGGTATAGCAAGAATTGCATCCGAACGATATCTACTGACATTGTTGGTTCCCACATACAATATGTATATATTATTTCAAGGGTGCATGCAATTGTTGCACTTTATTTACAAATTATGCAGTCTGTTTCTGTACTCTAAAATTGATGAGTCCTCATCACTTTTGTTTAGCTGCTGGGATTTTATTTGGACTGTATAGTATGTGATATATTATAGTTTTTGTGCCTTCATTTATTTGCCGTGTGTCTAAAAGGTTCATATTTTGCAGGTTGTTTATCATACTCCACCTCGTTTCCCAATAGATATAATTCAAAGTATTCGTGAAGGAGCATCTATGTTATTCCAACGGCTTGGTCTACGCGATTTTGCTAGAATAGATGGCTGGTTTTTGCCACCTTCTGATCATATATTGTCTTCGTCAGAAAATACATTTGGAAGAACCGATTCGGGTACTGTAATATTTACCGACATCAACTTGGTGAGATGGCTGTCTGATACTCTAGATGTGTTTGATTACTATTAATGATTTTTTGTATGTTACTTTATTAATAATTTGTCGTCTCTCTAGATTAGTGGGATGGAGCAAACTAGCTTCTTATTTCAGCAAGCTTCAAAGGTAATCTCAATTCCGGTTTTGTGTTGTGGTGAAAATTGTAGATTTTGCAAGTCATGGTTCAACACCAGGCCAATCCGTTTTTGATAGTCCCTCTGTCCCAAAATAAGTGTCGCACTTTGGCACTCCAAATTTTTAAGGGGACATATATTTAATCCGTTGCCCCCCTTCAAAATTACAAAACTAACCCAAGAAAATATAAACCTTTACTTTATTGTTTTGAGAAAGTTTTCAAAACCCAAGGACCATTTGGGAAAGTTCAAATTTGGAACATTCTAACAAGGAATGTGGACATTTATTTTGGGACATCCTGAAAAGGAAAGCAGGACACTTATTTTGGGACGAGGGAGTATTTGTTTATCGTTTTCTTCTTTTTTACTTATGAATTATCCTTTATTATGCCACCATTGCATCTTAAGAAGACTTCTTACATTTAGGTTGGATTTTCTCACTCAAACATCCTGAGGACCGTTATTCAACATGCTTGCCTGCGGTTTCCGAGGCTTGCTTCATACTGTAGTGTATCTAGTCCTTCGTCTGGAAGATCAAAATCTTCATTACTCACAGGAGCAATGCCCAAATCTCAAAATGTTCAAAAAGTTTTTGTCATTTTTGGTGGTGACACTTCTGAACGGCAAGTATCTCTTATGAGCGGAACTAATGTTTGGCTCAATTTGCAAGCATTTGATGATGTAAGTGTTCATATTTAGGAGCCGTTAATTTATATAATGTTCAACTGACAAAATGACTGGGTTATTGTTAAAGGTGCCATATGGTATGCAAGTCTCCAATACTATAGAAATATTTAAATCAGTATGAATTGTTTTATTGATGGACTTTTCTAAAGCTGCATATTGAGTATAGTCAACTCGATTCAACTCAACATGGCCTTGTTTCAACTATTTGGGTTAGAATTGAATCATGTGTTTTTTATTCTGCTCTAAGGCCATGATCCCAAATAATTGGGAAAAGGGTTTTTGAGTTGCTCGTACTTGGGAGAAGGGTTTTGAGTTGCTCGTACTCAATACACAGTTTAAAAAATATATATTAAGATTTTAAATTGGTGAATAACTCGATCACTTAGCACATTCATAGAAGTTTCAAATTTTCCATTTGAGTGATGTAAGATGGCAGATACATAGCTATGCACATTAATAATTCACGGATGATGTGAGTTGTCATCTCTATTGGTCATTTCTATTGGAGCTCCTGGGAAAATTGAATATAAGGTTACTAATCACTCTTGTAAATCATGGATTTTCAAGCTTTAGAACACGATGCTCTGTGCAGTCACATTCAATAATTGCTTGTCTTTTGACTTTTTTTCTTTGCTTCTTTGATGTAAGATTTAACAGAGTTATTCTATATATCTATTTGCCAATTTTTATCACCTGTTAAGTCTAATTTTGTCTAAAAAATATTATTGATTCGTAATTAAAGTTACGCTACTTATAAATAAAAATCAATGTGCTAACCTTTCGAATATACCAGTTTAGTTTCAGTATATAGATTGGAAATGATACATACCGATGTCTCCATTTAGATAATTTGGCTTTATTGGGGGAACTCCTTTTGCTAAATTTGAGGCCTTCTCATCAGCTTCTAATGATTTGGTGCTTCATATATATTCTTTTGACGAGTTTTATAACTTGAAATTAAAATAATAATTTTGGTTGTTAAATTCAAAGCCATAATTATAAAAATATAATTGTGATGAAATTTATTAAGAGAGTTCTTGATCAACTTGGGAACATCTGACTTTCATTTGTGAAATATATGTCTTGGTTTTATACTTTTAGCAGCCCAGTCTATTGAATGTCTTGAGAGATTAGAATTGTTTTTAATTTTATGATTTGTGCCTTTCTAATTGATCACTTGAGTCATTGCATTTAACTTTTAATATGGTATGGGATTTGCATTTCTAAAAGGTGCATTTTCTGATTGATGATAATATGTGATTGTCAATTTTGGTGGCTACAGCTTGAAGTAACTCCATGTTTGCTTGCCCCTACAAATGGTTATTCATCTGATGTGAACTCTGATAAGAAGGAAATGGATGTGAGCTCCAGAACAGTTTGGTCATTACCGTAAGTCTGAATCTTCTATTGCTATGCATATACCATATCTTACTGTGATTGGCAATGTTTGCTTGAATACAGATGGTCGTATGTGTATCTTGTTTGTGGTTCTTTGAATTTTATCAAATGATTTGAACCTAGAATAAACTACATTCAATGTGGTAGAGAATTCGGGATACAATCTTTTGTCTAGAGTATTGATATTTCTACAAAGGAATAAGTTATTTAGGTTGAAGAAAATTGTTAGATATTGAGTTTCTCTACCTTTTCCTTCAGTCAAGTTAGTCAGTCTCAACTGTGTTGCATATTTTTTTTTCCCTCTTGTATCAATATAATTTAAAGTATTGTTCACTTAGGGGTGGGAGGGAAATTAAAAGAGTGTTCCGAAAAGTGGACTGTACCTGACTGGTGGGTTGGACCCTGAATGTTGGGAATAAAACTTGGTATGGCTGCTTCAACACTTCAACCACCTTTTTCTTTTTGACCAAATTTTTATTTACGTATAGTTTTTTATAGTTTGATATTTTATCATATACATATGTTAAAAAGGGACTATTGCTTGGTGCAATTATAAAACTCTAGATTGCCAAGTGCGAGAGCCTCAGTTTTAGTCTGAGAGTAGGCACTTTGTATGCAATAATGACAAAGGTTAGATTGTCTCTTGTCGACTTCTCCCAAAACCTTGTCTAGGTGGGACCAACACTTAGTAATGGCCTTTTAATTCTTTAAGAATCATATTTCTCTAAACTCTGCCAATCTTGGCATATCTTATATTTAACAGTATAATGACACAATTTTGAATTTTTTAACTAAGGATTTTTTTGGGTTGGATATAGCTTTACAAGGAGTCGACTAAGACAACCTATGCATGCAGCCAACCCGTAGATGGGATTAAGACTTGTTGAGTTGAGGTTTGTTGAAGACTTCATAATTTATCTATTAATGGTGTCATGGGTTGGATGGTTGAACTTGCTTGGCCTAATGGTGAAGACTTCGCATCCCCTTATTTGGGAGTGTTTTTCTGCTTTCTGGTCTCCTCTACACACTACTCATAATTACCATTGAGACAGATAAGCTACTTCCATATAGATTGTAGTCCATTTGTTCGGGAAATCCCAATGGACTCCAGTTTATGGGAACGTGTTTGAAATCAGAAAGGAAGCATTGGGGATGTCTTGTGACTCCAAGAGGGGTGCTTTGCTTGGGCAGTTAAGACAAGTTTTAATGATGCCTATCTTACTAACCAAATGATAATTGTTCCTGCTGGAGTAGGGATAATCAGATAGATAATATAGTGGTGGTGATGGTTTTGGTGATATGATGGTTCTGGTGCTTATTATGCTATAATGATGCAGTAATTATGACAGTGATGATAATTATGGAAATGATTCTAGTGTTCTGATAATGACAGCAATTACGATTTTATGATTGTGTTTTCACTCAGGGTTATCCACATTACACTTGTAGGTTACAATTTACAGGGCAACAGGACATATTTGGTAATTATTTTTTATCTATTATAAATCTAGGGGGTTCGAGCCTCAGTGGAGGCATGTGTGTGTGAGTACAACTAAGAAAAAAAAATTTGTATCAATTCAGCTGTGAGTATCTTTTTGGAGAAGGGTTGACTGGTCTCTCTCTCTCTCCAAACCAACCCCCCCGGCGCGGATGACAGATAAATGAGAAATTTATGATGAGTTGACTGGCTTTTTTGAAAAGATCCACTCCTAACCTTATGAGTGTTTGTTGGAAATGGTATAATGGCGGTTAATATGTGCCAAATGCATGTTTCATAGACTAACCATGAACTATCTTCATGATCAATCCAGCTGAATCTGTTTCTAAATGGTAATTATAAATGAGATGATAATGCCCAAGTATTAGATTTTTATATTTGAAAATGACAAATGGGTGAGACATTAATAAAACTAATGTGATAATCAAACGATAAGGAGTTTTAATGTTCTAATTGCATCTTGCTGGAAAGGTTGCAGGGTTCATGAAGTATGTGGAAATAATACCTTTTTGTATTCCTTGTTGCTGAATTTATACATCTAATTGTGTGGTCATCAAGAGCGCCAGTAATGCAAGATTTTGGATTGAAATTAAGCATGATGGATGTCTGATTGAAATTTGATTATATGAAACTTTTTGTATCACCATGTTCTACTCATTGTGTGAGCATAGATAAATTTGTGGGTTTGGCTCTTCTCCTATATCTATGTTTTTGTTTAACAATGCTCTTTGTTTGGGTATAGTTACTCCCTTGTGCTGAGGCATACTACAGAAGAAGTTCTTGCTGCATGCATTGAAGCAATTGAACCTGCTCGGGCTGCATTGACGTCTCACTTACGGAACCAAGTGATGGATGAACTTATGGAAGGCTTGAAGAAACACAGTTGGTTCACAGGGTTCGATATATCTGATGCACCACCAATGAGGTTCTCACTGGAGCAGTGGATTAAGCTAGCCAAGGAAGTTCAAGCAACAGTTTTCATTGCAGGTTCCAATTTTTAGCCATAAACTCTTTTAATACTTGCTTACGGATATAGTGTCTATTTTAATATGTGTGTGTCTATTTGTGGTACTTTAGCAATTTAGCTTTAATGTATTTACTGTATCAATACATGTGTTATATTAATTCTGGAATTTTCTGCATTAATGCGTCCGTCATGAAATTTATCTAGTGCGTCATATACTCTGTGTTAAGAACTCTTCCAAGAGGAATGCGACATCTTTATATTTTGATATTTGAAATCAGGGAAGATGAGAAAACATGCTTACGAATAACAAGGTATGGTTGCATATTTTGGTACCACAGTTTTCAATCATTCCTCTGGCATCACTTCCAACTTGGTTACATAGGTATCATATCGGTGATATTACACGTTTCGGTATCTTTAGGTACTGACTGGGTGTTTCCATTTATTATTAAGTACAAGACCTTAGTTGGATAAAAGTTTTGGGAGGGGGGTTTTATGTAGGAGTTATTTTATTTTATTATTGGTGAATAGTAATTATATATTATGCACTTCTCAAGTTGGTTTTTTATGTGGAAATATTCTGTGGCTGATTAATTAGAATCATGTTGAAAATGTACAAGAGCAGAATGTTATGTTTTCTGTTAACTGTGCTGCCTTTCACATGCCTAGTCTAGTCAATATTAATCTCGTGTATGATTTGATAGATTGTGTTGTTCTTTAAATATAAAATCTCTGTAGTTTTAATTTTGATTTTTTGTTTTCTTGACTTGTATTTATACAAACTTTCTAGGAAATATTGAAAAACAGGTGAACGTAGTGGCTAATGTCAATGCTTTTATGGACACTAGTTGAAGCAGGCAAACTGGAACTATTTGTAGTTTAAAGCAATAATGAAATGAAATTTTAGATCGATCTGATTGATTTGTGGTAGGAAGATCTTCAGGCTTTATCTTGCTTTTAAATCTTGTAGATGCAGTTTCATCTTTCAATGTGGCATGTAATTGTGCTTCTTATCAAAAAGTGCAATTCACAGGAAGGCACTAAAGCTATTTTTTCTCCATAATTACTAAAGCTATTTTATATATCCTTCATTCTTTCTAAATCTCATTGTGGTTATGTTGAAGTTAATATGTTTCAAATTGACCTCTACTATAAAAAAGAACTAAATTATGGATAGTCATAGCATTAATAAGGGGTAATTGCTTGGTGCAGTAGATTAGTGGTGGGTGATTGGGTTGCCAATTGTGACAATGAGGGTTCAAGTTTAAAAGTAACCATTTTGTGCAAATAATGTCATATATTATATTTGAGGTCTGTATCCAGTCTGCCCCACCCCCAGGAGACACTTTCGATTGATAGGGACTACACTGGGCAATGTCTTTTTTATAGTCCTAGCATTACTTGGTTGGACTTATTGAGCTCTGGCATAGTAATAGTGGGACTAGGAATCTAATTTTCAATATATTCCGAACAGGATCAGCATTAATAGAAGAATTTCATTACCTTCGCTGGAACTGAGTTCAAGTAACAAGCATTAATATATTGTCTATTTAATAATATGGACAGTGCATGGAGGCATTGGGGAAGATGGTACACTTCAGTCTTTGCTAGAGGCTGAAAGAGTTCCTTATACAGGTATTTTTTATTGACCTGTAGTAGAACATCATAGCTTATGTCGGTGGTGTATAATTGCTTATCTTCTATTTCATATGAGCTGAAGGTCCTGGCATTGTGGCTTCCAAGACCTGTATGGACAAAGTTGCAACATCTCTGGCACTTAAACATGTATGGCAACTATTTATGCATATCCCTGAAGGGCTTTTTTGATGTTTACTTTTTTCATCGTAGTGATATCAACTTGGCTATTATCTTTAGAATTTGACAGTGTTAGGATGCATTGAGATATTAAAACATGAAGAACACAAGAATTGGTTCAGCCACTAGGGCTTAAATCCACGACACACAAAGCCCAAAGGGCTACATCTCTTTCATTACATTCTCTCAAAATTTTGTTTACAATAACTACCTCTATTTATAGGTGAATTGGGGAAGACTTGTAGCTAGAGAATAGAAATTTCTTGCTCTACAAGTATTTTATAATAAAGGAATTACACAGAAAGTCAAATACAAATTTGGCAACAACTTGTTGCCCAAGTATAGCAACGTTTCTGTCAAGGAGTGATTTAAGGGCTTAAATCACTAATATAAATTATTCTCCAACATAAACTATAAGATAACATGATCTGAAAAGGTTGCAATTTTAGCATGAACATGTTATAGAGAAGATATTTATACTTATTAAGATGAATTTAGTAATTATGTCAATCTCACAGGAGCTCATCTTATTATACGAGTCCAAAATTATCTGGATGTACCATAGCTCTACTTCTGGTTAAATAATAATAACTCATAAAAGTAAGTAAGTAATTATTTTACAGGTCATAAGGAAACTAAACAAAAAATTGTTCTCTAACATTCAACTTAAATAATAATGATGCACTGAAAGCACTACATATCCTATTGAAGTTCATTAATATTGTTGGCAGTTCCAGTATTTTCACTGGGGACCACTGTAGCAAACCTTTCTAGATGATTAACAAAAGGGAAATACTAGGATAGCTAGCAGTGTTTGCTATAGGCTTAAAGCTTTATTTCACAGCTATTGTATCTTCATAGCAAGCATTAAATCTCTGTGAATGAACAGCTTGGAAACTTCGGAGTTCTTACCATAAATAAAGATGTACGACGAAAAGAAGACCTAGTCAATATGGAACCATTTGACATTTGGCATGACTTGACCTCAAAGCTTCAATGTGAAACATTATGTGTCAAACCCGCTAGAGATGGATGCTCGACTGGAGTTGCACGGTTATGGTTGGTTTACATCACTTATTTCTATTTTTTGTTTACTGTTAAATGTCTAGAACATTAGTTAAGTTACTGTTTGCTTATGCCTATAATGAATTCTTATTTTTGTCATTTCATTGTCAATCATATGGTGCACACTTGTTTGTCTATACAGCTGTGCTGAGGATCTCTCAGTGTATGTAAAAGCATTAGAGGATGGGCTTCATCGGCTACCTTCTAATAGTTTATCAAAGGTATGGATTCATCTAATCGTTAGAGTGATGTATCCTGTTACTACTTAAATGGTAGGTGCAGAGTTCAAGTGTTGGAATATGGGTACATATCTATTCCCTACTGATAAAGAGAATGTCTCTCGTATCTTCAAATTATGACTTCTTTGCAATTCATTTAAATCATTAATTAGTTATTATGATGTTTACTACCATTCCCTGGAAACATTTGGTTGTTGTTCATTATCATTTTTATTATAAAACAGAATCTACTGAAATAACTATAATATTTTCAATTGATTTGCATATGTTCATAGTATCTTTAGATGGTAGGAAAATATAGTAAATTTTTCAAAATTTCTGTGCTTTAGCGTAATTTAAATTCCATCTTTGACTTACGTTATCATTCAATAATGTACATTTCTCTTACTGATTCATTTAGGCACATGGAGTAGTTGAGATGCCAAACCCTCCGCCAGAGCACTTAATCTTTGAGCCTTTTATTGAGACCGACGAGATAATTGTTTCATCCAAATCCACAAATGAAAATGCAGATCATCTATTGTGGAAAGGACATAGTAGATGGGTAGAGGTAACCGTTGGTGTTACGGGAAATCAAGGATCAATGCACTCGTTGTCACCTAGTGTTACTGTCAAAGAAGCTGGTGATATATTGTCACTTGAGGAAAAATTTCAAGGTATGTCTTCATTCAAACTATGAATAATTGTCACACGGATCAGCATGGTACCTTCTCTGGTGGTTCTGTACTGTTTTTGGTTGCTGCTTGGATGCCTTTTATGCTGAACAAATGGCAACGTTGACCTGTGCCTGAATTGGTTTAAATTTTTTATTTTTTTTTCCCAAAAAGAAAAAGTGGAATAAAAAATTAATGGATATGTGTAAAGAGGGTGATGGATTTTTTCACATGGATGCCAAAATTTGTTCACTTAAAATCTTTACTTGCTATTCTGTTTTAGGTTACTGCTTTCATGTTGTTACTGATACAGATAAATTGACGAGTTTTGAAATTATACTTGTATTTAGAAAGAAAAAAAAAAAAGACTATGCTAGCGGAATTGCGTATTAAGATTGATGCATCAACCTCATTCTTGTTAACATGCTGTTCAACTTTGAATGAGTGTTACTGGCCTATTTTGTGAGTGTTACAGACTTACAGTTCAAACTTGAAGAACGCTTATTTTTTACAAGAGATTTATTCTCCTGCTTATTTTGAAAATATTACATCTGTCCTGAAAGGCATACTTCGTCTTCTTATGTAGTTAATATTTGTTTCGCAGGTGGAACTGGCATCAATCTGACTCCACCTCCATTATCAATCATTCGGTGAGTCAATAATCTTCATTCTACAGAGACTGAATTTCTTCCATGGTTAACAGCTTCAATTATGAAACATCTTATGCTTCTAAGGTAGCTTTTTTTTGTCTTGTTATTTCTTCTATGGCATCAGCCTGTGTACAAAACCGAGAATTTTTAGGTTGTGTATTAGTCAGAAAAAAGAGGTTTCTATAATGTTATGCATGCCATGACAATATTGCCAGAGTTTTATGTTCTGTTGCTATTGCTGATGATGAATTAGATATGAGAATTTAAATTTTCCATTGGTTTCACTGAGGTTGCGTGAAAAGCTTAATTTCCATACAACTAGGGCGTAAAATAAATGGTTTGAAGGTGGACATGATTCCATGCTCCAACATGTCTTTTACGGTGTTAATAGATATTTTTGTAGGAGGAAAATTTGAGGACAAAAAAATTGTTGTTTATTGTATTACGTTGAAAACGATTCCATGTGAGAAGGTTCAACATCTACTTGCATACACCGTTTCTTCTTTTTATATCTTATTTCTGTTTTTCCACTTACTTGAATCAGTCACGACGCATTGGAAAGATGTAAACAACGTATTGAACTTATAGCAAACACTCTGCAGTTAGAAGGGTTTTCACGTATCGATGCATTTGTTAACGTTGACAGTGGTGAGGTATGTTGATTTCCTGAAGGCCCTGCACACACTTCTGCTTTATCTATTGTTGAACCACTTACTTGGGCAAGTTTCATGCGTAATTTTACATCTTTAAAATAAAAGGAAGTTCCATCCTAGGCAATGATCCTAGCAGCCTTGCATTGCTTAAAGTAGTTTCCCAACTCTTCTTCACAATGTCAAGTCATGAATGCATCACGTAAAATATATCTGATGGTGTATCATGTGCTTTATAAAGGGCCTCAAACTCAAAGGATGGTGAGATCCTTCAAATTTCTGGGTTTTGGATGGACCAAAGGAAGGGACACTGAATTCATTTAGTGTTTGTGCAATTAGATTGCATTAATTTAAAGAATTAAGTAATGGTTATGAGCGGTCCCTTTTTTGACTTCACATCATGACCACTCTGTTTAATTGCAGGTACTTGTTATAGAGGTTAACACTGTGCCCGGAATGACACCTTCTACTGTTTTGATTCATCAGGTAATCACCGGATCTCTAACCACCATATATGATGTAGCATTCATTTATGTTCGGAAATGAAATTCAAATGTAGAATTTGAGATGAGATCATTTACTTTTCTTAATCACAATTTATTTAAAATCCAATGTAAAAGAGGGATAGATTGATTCAGTTTCTAGGCTACTCTTACAGATCCCCCACGACTACTATCTCTGCTAATAACCCCTTATCTGTTGGATATTGTGTGTCTCCCAGGCACTAGCAGAGCAACCTCCCATGTATCCTCACCGGTTCTTTCGCACACTGCTTGATTTGGCATCAGAAAGGTCTATGTAAAACTTATTTCTTGTAAGAATAACTCCATTGTTTATCGTCTTTTACAGAACAAACTGTCCTGCAACATTATGAAAACATAAATTTTTTATTTTATTTTATTTTTTTTTATTTGGAGTGAAAATGTAGATGTTAAAATGAATCTCATTTGTTTCTCTTTTTGATGGGAATAAGAACGGGATGTACTGCTTCAAGGATTGTCTTGATCCTTTATTTTCATTTCCTTTAAACATAGGAATAGACGCAGGAATACTGAAAGGTGTAAAATAATTAAACCGATCTCGGAAATTTTGCGTTGTGATATTGGCAATATTGTGTAAAATAATTAAATTGATCTTAGAAATTGTGTTATGATATTGGCAATAATTTTTATTTAACCCAAGTGTTCATCTTTGTTAGAATGTGAACTTCGGAGTTTGAATCTCATCCTCATTTCAGAAGAGGTGAGAAATTAGATGATGAGAAGAAAAAGGTGCTCTCTATATGTCAACAGCTTTAGTATAGCTATTTTTCTCACCAACAAAGGTCATCATCTCTCCATGTCAACAGCCTTACTACAGCTATTTGCTCACCAATAATATACCTTTACACTAACAGACAAATAAATCTCTTTCATATTTCACATTCCTCCTTGTCAAGTTAATTTAATCAGATAAAGTAAAAAGTATCCTTACCTTGTTGAATTAATTTAGTTACATAAGGAGAATATTTTTGTCCGATTTAATCAGATATTTTTTTAACAAAGTTTTTATAAAAGAGTTCTCAAAAACTTAACCAAGCATATTTTTCTCCAATTTTTTAATATTTAGTTAACAGAAATTAGAAAACTATTCTCCAAAAGTTATCTATTTACATCTCTTCTTTTCAGAATGGAATGTAGAAGGTGTAAAAGTTATTTATCAAAAAAAAAAAAAAAACTACTGTAACTAGATCTATTTTTCTGACCGTAATACATTGGTTTTTATTTTTATATTACTTTTTTTGGTATGAAATAAAAAATAAAAAAATGATGTGACACTATACCATCACTCGTCAGAGAATGTATAGTATACTAGCTGGCTCGCTCATTAGTGACGTTGCTGAGAGAGCAACTACCCATACCCATACTTCACCAGGTCATAAAAATGGACGCTACTAAAGAGAAAACCCGAGTCACTTAAATGCTCTGGTGTACTACATCCACTTGAGATGTGACATAACACAACACAGCATGAATTTTCGTAATACATATATGTGTGTGTATATATATTAATCGATTAAGAAATATTCTGATAATGCTACAATAATCTATTTATCATTTGATATTCAAATTGTAGGAGTTATAGATTTACATGCACTTTTTTTTTGGAAAGGGGGTCTAGTAAAACAAAACTAAAATTTCATGAATTAAAAAATTCAGACATACATATACATAATTATATATAGACTAGTACATGGGTGTGTGTATATATGTGTGTGTGTGTGTGAGAGAGATGAAACGAAGAACAGAAGCATCACATTAACTTGTAGTAGTGATACAATATATCAATCAGATTCGACCATTTTCTTGAGGGTTTGCATCATATATCTCACCTTCATCTTCAATGGTTGGGACAGTCAACCACTCATCTAAATATGAGCTTTCATCACTTATTTCATCGAAAGAAAGTGACTCGCCGAGCTTTGAACCATCCGGGCACGGCCTAGGTTGTGGTACCTCGTTGTGCTTACCATCTAAGGCCTTTAGAAACCCTAGCCACCAAGTGTGTGAAGAAGCTAGGTTTTCAGACCACTCAAATTCCAGAGCTTCCATGGGAGGTGATGGTGTGGCAAGCACTGAAGGTGCAGTGGTGGACCATGTAGGCTCAGGGAGAGGCAAAGTGTCCAATAATGAAGAGCAGGAGGAGTAGCTAATTATACCATGGTTGCAACCATTTCCTCTTATAGTAGACCCCCACTTTTGATCAAAAGATGATGCTGAGGCTGATGATGATCTATGAAGCTGCAAGGCATTGACAACCTCTCTCCTAGCTTCAGCCATTTTTTTTTTTCGAAGGTTTGCTTCAGCCATGTTGACAAAACAATCTTTTGTACCTCTTCTTTTATCAGACCTCCTTTCTATGGGCTTTCTTGTGGAGTAGCTTCTCTTAGACTCCATATTTTCATAATTTCTGTAAGGAGTACTTGATAGTTGATAATTTGATACAGATATAATATATATATATATAGAGAGAGAGAGAGAGAGAGAGAGAGAAGAAAACGGGAAAGCTGACAAATGCAAGTGAGGAAGTTAAGGAAGAAAAGATGGGTCAGCAAACGATAACATGTATGTTGACACGTCTTGGGAACTCTGGACACAACCAGCAACAATCAATTCGGTTGTACCTTGTTACCCTTTTGCTTTAATGGCTGAAGGTACAATTTGGGCTCGATAGGCCTCAGTATAGCCCATCCTGTCCATATTTAATTTGGGCAGGCCTCTCCAGCTCAGACTGAAGGTTGGGCTTAGCCTAGCCCCATTAATAAATTTATTGGACGTCTAATAATTCTAAGTGGCCCAATAATTTCCCAATTTGATGTTAGATTCTAGGAGTGGTCAATATCTTAGTTGGGAGTTTTTACACACGTATGGGCTTTGATATGTTTGATACAGGAAGGGATAGAATGTTGAAATAAAAAGGGCATGGGGTTTTCTTCTTAAAAATGACTTAATGTTGCCTCCTCCTTCTAATTAAAAAAATTAATTAAATGGATTAATGGTATTGAGACAATTAGGACACAGACACAATTAACAGCTCCATCTTTTTTTGTGAATTGGTAAGTAATCTAAAAGTGATTACATGCTCAAATGGCTGTGGTGCATGATAATTAAAGTGGATGCGTGGTGTTAAAAACACCCAATTTATGGAGGACTTTGAATAGTAGAAGACAGATCTACAACAACTCATTTGTGTGGTAAAGTATGTTGAGCTTTTTTGACGGGCTTCCAAGTCTAAAAGGAAGTTCAGTAGTGTTGAATTCGCTAGCTGTCCCCACAACCCTAACCACTTTCTTGGAAAATTCATCAATCAATCTCTTTACAATGCACGCCAGTTTAGAGAGAGACAATGGAGTGAGGGATTTTGCTATATCTTGTGAAATTAGGCATTAAAAATTAGCAGATACTACGAAGCCTCACGTGGGTGACTATATCTCCAACCCACATGACACTGTAAATTGTCAATACATACATGAGAGGGAAATGTGGATTCTATATTTGAATACGAGACTCTGACTAAAAACACCTATATATTTGTTGTATATTATTCTGACAAAGACTTAAGATGTATGTGCTGTTAGATAGTTTGATCATTGACACTTGATTTCTACATATATCTATCATTTTATCTTCTGTTTTTCATTTGAATATTTATTCCAACTGAATCTGTAATGTTTTCCCATAACACTGGAAGAACATAGGAATTACATACACTTAGTTGCCAAAAAATAGGAACCTCATGTGGTTTCGAAAGCAACACCGAACAAAATAGTATTTTTCCAATTTTCTAAGGCTATTTTTCAGCAAACAAGAGTGTACAATTTTATGATAAGCGAGGTGTTATTCAGATCTAAACCAAAGACAAGATCAATATTATATTTAAAACTGAAAAGAAGGTTCTTTTTATTAAACATTCCATATATATATATATACACACACTTCATGGATGAATTAATTGACATTGGTTCTTTTAGATAAGATTGTATAACAACTCTCTTCCAAATGAAAGTCAGGAGTTTAGGCAGACAATATATATTAAAATAAAATCTGAAAATATACAAAATATATTGCACTTTGATATAATAAATTTGTACTAAATCAAAATACACAAAAGATAACCATGATCATGGTTAGAGTTCCCTTAAAACAAGAAGCAGCAGTGACCTAAGGACCAATTCAAATATTATTGAATAAATGGTATATCTACAGACTAATTAAAAAAGGATGGTCAGTGTCCTCATTTTCAAGAAGATCTTGTCAACTTTCTTCCCAAGGAATCAAGGATTCATATCTTTTGGTTGATATGGGATCATGAGGCCGGTCAACAATACAGCTTAAATATATTCATTCATTCATTTAATTTAATTATTCATTTGTTTTTTGTTCCAATTAACCCAGCTCTTATTTTAAGGTCATACGTATGCCGACTTTGATTATCACCCTTTCCAACCATGTTCTGTATTGTATTTACTTTGGAGAATATTTCATGATTAACTTATAATATGTGGTGTTAGTGGGGGGAAAACTGCTGATTAGTTGAGCAACATTGCTAGCTAGCTGGTAAATATATATGCATATACATGTGTGTACGTGTCTGGGTATATGTAACGATCATGATCCTTTTTATTAAATAACCAAATTATTGGCGCTTATAGTACTAGGCAACTATCCATGTGCTTAATATATTTGTGCTTAACTATATAACTATACATGTACTTATGTATATATATATATATATATGTGTGCGAACACATTGAGTACCATAATAGAGAAGTAAAAATATATTATAAATATTAGGATAAAGTACAGTAACATCTCTCAAGGTTTGGCAAAAAAGACATCCAAACGAAACTTACATGTTTTTTTCGACAACGACACCCTTTTACATGAAAAATTGACCAAATTATCCTTTAACCGTTTAGAAGACTTTTTTTAACTTTACAATTTAATAAATTGGACCAATCTACCCTTATGAATAATTTATGTATAAAGAAAAAGAAAAAAAAAACTTTATATTGTTCACTTTTTTTTTTTTATATACTTTATAAATGTCCCAACTTTTTAAAAATGTAAACTTGATTTTTTGATTCAATACATATATTTCGAATAAATTATATTTTGTTATTACTTCTTTTCTTTTTCTTTTTCTTTTTAAATTAAGATGTTTAATTCTTTCATCTAAAAAAATTAAACCTATCTCTTTTCCTTAAAAATAAAAAATAAGGTACCAATATAATTTTATCCATCTTAAATTATATATCAAATATTATGCATTTTTCAACATAAAAAAAAATAAGTATCATCTTAACTTTCCTCTTAGGACACTCTAGATTACTTTATTTTTCTTTTTCTTTTTCTTTTTCTTTTTTTGGAACAAATTACAATTAATAAATAATAAAGAATAAAATGTCAAATGTGATAATGAGTGACACTAAAAATGAGTCCATCTTTAATGAGATTTGGAAATTGACATTGCTGAAGCATACATGTCAATAACAGTACCTTGAAATCCCTGGATTATTGGAGCTAGGTAGATGGTGGAGGAAAAATGTAGGGTTAAGTTTGATTCCACCACTTTTAATTAGTACAGTAGGTGTCAAGGGGTGTCTCGTGAGTCCAAATATTAAGCAACCTATAGATTAATCTGATTTTGATCAGTACGTACCAAATTAAATAATAATAAATAATATACTTGAAAAATGAGGAAAGTCCAACTGGAGGTTGGAAAGCTCACTCCACTTTACAGAATTCAACCATATAAACCACACACAAGCAACCCTCTCTGACCTGTAAATCTTTGAAAGGGATTTCGTCGTGATTCATGCCCAACTCTAGAGAGAGAAAGCAGAGATTTTGGAGAGAGAATCTATCCTCTCAGATTTCTCCTACTATTTGATAATGTTAGAATTGGTCAGCATTGCGAGGCAGCTAGTTAAAAAGGACTTCTTGGTTACATAAAGTTTGACCTTGTCCATGAAATTAAGGTCACATCTCTAGGAAGGTTTAATTCCAACTAGATAGATAGATAGGTAGATAGATAGATAGATTCAGTACTCTATGTTGGACTCATTCAATTTTAAACACCTCTCTCTCATTCCTTTCTAGTCTCCCAATACAGGGAATCGTGGTGACTCGGGGAGTCGGCTAAAAGTACTTTAGAAGGCCTAACCTTTTATTTTGTCCATTTTTCTCCTCCAATTTTTTTTTTTTTTTTTTTTTTTCACTCCACTGCCATTCTCTCTCTAAAGCTCACTACAGATAAGTTAGATTTAAGATTTAGTCTCAAATTAATACGCCCCACACAAGATTTAATGCCTATGTTTTCTTTTAAGTAATGATATTTGCGTTAATTATATTGCCAAATATAAGATGTAGGTCCCCCTACTTCCTTATCTCATGTATTAATGATCAGGTCTAACAATTCTGCCTAACTAGTCATATTTCCACTAAGTAGTTAGGCAAAATTGTTAGATCTAATATATCTGATTAGTCAATACATGACAAATATAAGAAATAGGGCCCTCCACTTTCTTATCTCATGCATTAATGACCAATCAAATATAGTAGGTCTATCAATCCTGCTAAACTATTCGGTGCAAATATCATTACTCTTTTCTTTTTTAAGTTTTTGATTCACTTGGTATATTTTATATTATAGTGTTTTCTGTAACAAATTTTGTTAATTTCATATTATATACTCTATTATTGCTCATTTGATGATTTAAATAACAAGTCTAAATTATTAAGCCTTTCTTGCTCTTGCTAACAATGATTTAAAAATTCGTGTATAGGTCAATAAAAATATTAAATTGTCTTGATTTTGATCCGATCAACTGCAAACCGTGGCAACCCCTCTCATACAATTCTCTCAGTTCGTCACTTTGCATATACAAATATTTATGTTTGGCTTGTACATACAATTCAAAAGAAATTTTCTATCAAAAAATAAATTGTATTTAAATATGAAAAAATTTCAACTACAAGCCAACACAGTTCCTTGAGGTGGTAATCCCACCATCCACAACAAGGTTATGACCACTTACATATTTGGACTCATCACTAGCAAGGTAAAGAGCAGCCTCAGCTACATCTTTAGCCCTTAAAGTTGGACCTTTCAAGTTGGCCAGATCTCTCACAAACTCCTCCATCTTCTCCACTTGTTGCTCACAAGGTGTCCCAAACCTCATGCATTCTTCCTCTTCTCCTTCTTCATCACTACTACTCCATGCATTCACAAGCATAGATGTGGCCACCCCAAATGGAGATATACAATTAACCCTAATACCGTACTTCCCCAACTCGCAAGCCGTGTTCTTGGTTAGCCCAACAATTGCATGCTTTGAAGCTGTGTAGCCGTGTGGACCGAGCCCTCCCATGACCGCGGCTACACTGGCCGTCGAAATGATGCACCCCACGCGCCTAGGAATCATCACACGCGCCGCATGCTTCATTCCTAGTGCCACTCCTCGGACGTTTATTCTCATAACTTGATCGAATTCGTCTGGATCAAAATCAACTATGCTCTTGTGCTTTGATTGATTCCCGAGCACCCCGGCATTGTTGAGGAGGATATCGAGCCGGCCATAACGAGAAATTGTTGAGTTAATGAGGTTTTCGATGTCCTCTTCTGAACTAACATCACAATGAACATAGGTGACAGGAGGACCTAATATGTCAGCAAGCATACTTCCAAGAGTGTCCTCAACATCAGCAATGACTACCTTAGCACCATGTCTTGCAAAGAGTCTCACTGTTGCCTCTCCAATCCCCTTAGCACCACCTGTGACAATTGCAATCTTTCCCTCCAACCTACAACATATAGACAAATAAAAAATTGAGATATATACATACATAATATATATATATATATATAGAGAGAGAGAGAGAGAGAGATGTAAAAGAAGCAACTACCTTTTGTGGGAGGGAGAATCGTTTTCCATTGCCATGACATGACTTCCTTGGAAGGTTTTCTCAGACATCACTTGGGCAGGCATGATTAATCACACTACAATAAATGCCAACAAAAACGAGAGAGAGAGAAGCACTAAGAATGCAGTTGGTTAGAGTAGAGAGGGAATTTATAGGGCAGTGGATGGGATGATCAGTAAGGAGGGGTCAGTGGGTTGTTTTTGGGTGGACTAATCTATATTCTCAAGGAAACTTCCTTTGCCAGTGGGTTGTTTTTGGGTGGACTAATCTATATTCTCAAGGAAACTTCCTTTGCCAATCAATGTCTATCCACTTGTCCCTCCAGGACACATATGCATGTCTTGACAATGCCAGTCCATATGACCAAACTACCCTCCATAACCTTAATTCTTATAGTTCAAGAGTTCATTAATTCATCTCCCCAGAGGTAATCTTATATATGAAATTCTAATAATCAAACTCTCTAATCTACAAATAATTTGAACATGCACTAATCAATGAAATGATGATCCAATTTCATCCATCAGAAATGGTTATACCAAAGTGGTAAAGATAAATAGAAGATATCAAATTTTCGAAAGAAATCCGGAGTACGTAAAATATCAATCTTTATATGTGTATTCAAGTTATTTTTTGGAAATAATTGTTTTATGCAATAATTTACTTCAATGGAAAATAAACTTTTATGGAACTTGATAAAAATAGTTTTGACAAGAAATGTAAGTTTTGCAAAAATGAAATTAATGAGAATATTATTGTAGTTTTGTATGCAGTAAATATATAGATACGCATATAATGTAGTTGTTACACGTTATGGATAATGAAATAAAGCGAATTAAATATTAAAGATAATTCAAATCAGTCCTAACGACTCTTCTACGTGCCCGATCATACAAAGAATCAAGTTTTGAAGTTGTCCACAGACTCCACACAAATATATGGATAGAAGGTAAAAATAACAATGAGAGTGAATATTGTAGAGAGCAAGTGTGTATGTCTATCAATCAATTGCTCTCTTGGGCTAAGCTCGCATTTACAGGCTAATAGGCCGGGCTTATGCTTTAAATTCAAAAAAACAAAACTGGCAGAATAAATAGGCCTAAAAACTCAAATGTTAGTAACTCATAAAGTCTATTAACTCATCAGTATAAAATAAGAAAATTTAAAATTTAATTAAATTTCAACACCGTAGTTAAATTTTACCTTAAGGAAAATAATTCTTAGGTTTAATATGGTGCCATTGATAACTTGAAGTGAGGCCTAAAACAAGGTCTCACTTCAAATTTTTAATATGTTGCCATTATATCTTCATCTTTAGATTTTTTAATGGAAGCAATATGTTCAAGAGTTAATTAAGAATACAAAATCTTCTCCGTCTCTCAAAAAAATCAGATATGCTTAAGGTTAAGGATGCCTATAAAATATAAGCATTGCCATTGTATTATTTGAGCTGACAAAAATAATAAAATTAATTAAAGTTCTTCCAATATCCACCAGGAATCTTGTAACTAAGACATACATAATACATAATGTGTGTGTGTGTGCAAGATCTTGATATCAATTTCCAATAAATTTGCATATGGTCAAACTGCATGCCCAATTAAGATATGTTCATCCCAACTGTCATTATACCAAAAAAAAAAAAAAGACACCCAACTAGCTAGTTGATTTTATATAGATTTGAAACTGTTATTTAAATGGATTAAATTCTGCTAGCTAGCTAAGTTTGTTCTTTTTTCTAGATCAATCGAGATCATGATTCATACAGAGTGTATATTCCTTCTTTAGGTACAGTATTAGTACTGGAAGCCGTATGGCCTAAGCACGTGGGGTAGCCAAGATGAGAAATCAACTTGATCGCCTTCATTAATTAACAAGAAAATATGCACAGCTATTCTCCCTAACTTTAGCTAATCTGAATTTCATAGCGAAGTTGCTTCTGTTGTAACAGGGTCATTCAATGATTGATGTGTGCAAGTTGCTTCTGTTGTAACAGGGGGAGAGTTACTGGAGAAAAAAAAAAAAAAAAAATTAGTACTACTATATATCAGTTTACAGTTTAATTCATATGTAATACTATTCTTCCTTTTAACACAACCATATATAATACTATTTTTCCTCTTAACCCAATTCACTTTACAATCCTGGTTCCGCCCCTAATTGTAACTTTAGTTAACGCAAATAAGAAACTCTCCGGTATTCAAGAAATTCATGGAATCAGCTGTTAGTTCCTTTCGTGAATTTGCATACTAGGATGCAATGTGGTGGGAGTCAGAGTGAATCTCACTGTTTAGCAGGAAGGCGACTGAAGTCTTTTACCTAAATATCATTTTTCTTCTCTAATTAAAATGATATAAAATCGTACGAAAAGTTAATTAAGACAATACGTTTTGATAAACTCCATGAAAAAATTGTAGTACTTAAAACATAGTTGTTGGCATCTCTCACTAATTCTAACTTTTATGATTTTTTAAATCACCATGCAGATGTGGTGTTTTTTTTAAAACTCCAAGAGTAAACACTTTTCTCTGACACACAAATTTTGAGAAGAAACTCTCAAAATTTATTATTCTGGTTTTTTTTTTAATATATATAGTGAAATTAGTTGTAGTGCATTGATGTTAGGGTTAAAGGTTTTTTTTATTTTTTTATTTTTTTATTTACAGATTTCTCTCATTAAAATATTTTTGTGTCTCTATTGGGAAGTTGGTAGTAGAGAAGATTATGAGAAATATTGGAGATTCAGGCCCCATATGTATTGACATTAACATTGAAAAATCAGTAGTAATGAAAGTTTGTAGCCATAAAAAGAGACCACAGTGCTCCAAGTTGTTCAATTAAATACAAACACATGGAGCTAAACTAACCATTTCCCTCTAATGCCACTATTAAGGATTTGTTGATTAATAATGTTGTAATTAGGTAGTTGTTAACAGCAATGTTTAACCAATAATTAGGAAAAGATGCGATGCTATGGACGGACCATTATGTTTTGTAAGTGGACAAAGCTTAGTTTATGTAGTGACGGTCTTTATATATTATATATGTTTCTCTTACTAATATATCACCTTAATTTACTAATTACATATGAGACCTAAAATTGGTGAAGTGAATGTTCTTAACTCTATGCTTAATTTCTTTTTCTTAATTAATCTTTCTATTAATTTTGAAAGCTGCTCACCTTTTACTTTCACAAAGAATTAATGTAATTTGTTTTTTTGGTACATTTATACATATTGTTCCCCAGTCCCCAGGGGCGTAACGGCGTTGACAGGGATCCGGGAAGTAAGTTCTTGATGTCTCGCTTTCGAACCGCACTCCTAACTGAAATGGTGCGCATGTTGTAGGGCCGATACAAGTACTCTAAAAATAAATTAAAAAAAAATAAAAAAAATAAAAAAAAAAACAAATTGGACCCATGAATTCCACTCTGCGGAATTGGTCCATCAAATAATTAGTGCCAGTCTATTTTCAATTAGGTCACATTAGATATGCCATTAGTTAATATTACAGAGCATAATCTGCACCTTTCGCGTAATTAATCATATGTTTATAAATTACTAATGGTCCCCTATTAATAAAATTCCACTCACAAAAAAGAAAAAGGAAAAAAAGGTACCACTAACCCTCAAAGCTGATTTATGTAGGTGAGGGTTTTTGTGTTATTAATATTTCTAACATCATGATGATGTTAGATTTTTTTTGGGGGGGGGGGGGGGGGGGGGAGTCAGTATATATAACCAAAAAGAAAGATGTACAGGGTTACCCAACTAGCCCAAGAAGGCAAAAACAGCCCGAAGGCAACAAAGCAAAAACAGGCCCAACCCAAGCAGCCTGAAGCCAACCAAAGAAACATCTTCCCTCCCTCACACTCAGGAACAAAAAATCAAAACAAAGAAGGAAGACAACAAGAGATCAACATCACTCAGATGAAACCTCATCGCCATTGATCAAACTAGGGATTCCCCATTCGGCAGCGATAACTCTCGAGCTGGTGGAGTCCTTAGCCTTGATAGAGAGGAAACGAGAACGAACACAGTCCTCGATGATCTTCCAAACAGCTTGAGGGGGGGTTTTTAAGCCCCAGCACAGGTACGATTATTCCTTTCTTTCCATATAAAATATATTGTAGCAGAGAAGCATAATTTGACTGTGATTGCCTTAATCGATTTACATTCAGCATTCCAAACTGTTCCAATCCATTGTCCCATGAAAAGGAAGCTTCGATCACCACAATACACACCACACGTGTGCTGAACATAATCCCAAATAAAGGAGGAAAACCTGCATTTAAAAAATAAGTAGTCATGGGTCTCCATCTCTTCCATACAGAGAGAGCAGAGGTTATGCTTATCCGATGTCAACCAGACATCGGATAAGTTATCTCTAGTATAGAGTCTGTAATTTAAAGCAAGCCATGTAATGAAGGCATGCCTAGGGATATGTTTGGGAAACCAGATAATATGGTTCCACCTAGAGAGATGAGCTGGTGGTAGAAGGGCATTGTAAGTGTGCTTCAAACTGAACCCCCCTGTAGGAGAGAGAGTCCACACTGCCCTATCTTGTTACCACCATTAATAGGGGGAATGGTTTCATTAGCACCAATAATATTCCTGAAGTAGTTTGGGATTCTCCATTGTCCATGCCTGATCAAACAGCTGACCTTGGATTTAATATCCCAAAGGTGATTAGAGATGGTTGCAAAATCCACTCTATTCCCTGCATGGTGTTTGATAAAAGCCCTAGCCATGCCCTTAAGCTTGAGCAACCTTCTCCAGTTACAAGAGCTAAGTTGGCTAGCCTTAATTTTTCAAAAGCTACTATCCTTGATTAAGTTAGAGTGAACCCAATCATACCAGAGGGATTGGCCATTATCACAAAACAGATTCCAAATGTGCTTGAGAATTGAGATCCTATTAAGGGAAACAATGTTAGGAAGGCCAAGACCACCATAGTTTTTAGGCTTGCACACTGCATAGCAGTTAATCTTTGCTTCAGTGTCCTTTATCTCCTGGCCAGTCCAAAGGAAGTTCTTTAAAACACAATTGATTTGCTTAGTCACCTGAAGAGGAAGCATAAAAATGTTACCCCAATAGGCATGGATGTTGATGAGAATTGATCGAATAAGTTGTAATCTTCCTGCATAAGAAAGAAATCTGGAGGCACAGCTGGAGATTCTAAAAGTGATCTTCTCAACCAAGATTCTACAATCATTAGCAAGAAGCCTAAATGTAGATAGGGGAACACCAAGATATCTAAAAGGGAAGTGCCCAATCTCGAACCCAGAAGCTGTGATCATACCACTCACTGTCTCCAAAGGAATGCCAGCTGTAAAAATGTTGCTCTTGTTCAGGTTAGGCTTGAGGCAAGACAAGCTAGAGAACTTATGAATACTATTAACTAAAATCTCAACGGAGTGTGGGTCTCCATTACAGAAAAGCATAAGATCATCAACACAACATAAGTAAGAAATCTTGTTACTTTTACATCTCCAATGGTACTTGAATTGGGGGTTCTCAGCAATGGCTTTGTTGATAATAGATGAGAGGACATCCATCACAATCACAAAAAGGAAGGGTGATAGTGGATCCCCTTATCTAAGGCCCTTAGAACCTTTAAAGAAACCCTCAAGTTCCCCATTGATGGAAACTGAGAAAGCAGTGGAAGTGATGCAGGCATAAATCCACTGAATGAAATCTGGTGGAAAACATAAAATCCTTAGGCAATCAATTAAGAACTCCTAACAAACAGTGTCATAAGCCTTATGAAGGTCAATCTTAAGAGTACACCTAGGAGTAGAGGTAGTTATACCTTTTCATGAGTTCCTGGACAATAAAAACTCCATCTCCAATCCTCCTATGCTTTATAAAAACTGTTTGGTATTTACCAACAATGTGGGGAAGAATAAGTTGTAGCTTTTTTGCAATAATCTTTGAGATGACTTTATATATGGTGTTACAACAAGAGATTGGTCTAAAGTCCTACATGGATGTTGGGTTAGGAATCTTGGTGATACAAGTAGAGTTGATCTCTCTTAGGAGTTGCCCATTCACAAAAAAATCCCTGACGGCCAAGGAAATGTCATTGCCAATCACAGACCAGGCCTTCTTGAATAAGAGGGCATTTTACCCATCAGGACCAGGAGCTTTTTTATTACTTATAGCAAAAAAACACTTTCTAATTTCCTTAAGGGAAGGAATACCGGTGAGGTTATCAATGATATTTGTAGGTATAGCCTTGTTAAACACCTCTCTGAGATTGTCAATACCAGGATAAGTGTGGGTTTGGCCTCCAAGAAAATTTTGGAAATGGTTGACAACCTCACTCTTGGTAGCTTGAAGAGACTCAGTGGTTTTTCCATTTGCCAATTGTAGCTTTGTAATCTTCTTCCGATTGCATCTGGACCAATTACTTCAGAAAAATGAAACTTAATTAGAATCTCTTGATGTTGGTTGGTCCAATAAAGGGAATTTTCTAAACGAGCAGTCCTTTTGTTCTTTTCTTTTCTTTTCATTTTTTCCTTGTTTTTTTCGATTAATACATATCGTTGACTATAATATATATATTACTAAGAAATTTTGTATACTTTTAATGTGGTTGTTGATGTGATGATCCATTTACAGCATAAATTTTAAAAGAATCAAAAGTTCCTCTTTGTTGCAATAATATATGGTTTAAAATGACAAGCATATTAGAAAAGGATATTATATAGATTTGAGCAGTGATTATATTGATATATGCATGCAACACTTCATCATATTATAAGTTACGAAATTGTATCAAACATATGATTTATTTTTTCTAAAAGTGCATGGCTTGCAAGAACCGATTCTCTTTCTTGAGTTCATGTACGTTGTTGTTTCACTTTTTTTTTTTTTTTTGGGTCCATTATTGGAGTGAGCATAAGTCTAATTCTGCAACAAAGTTTGGTTCATATGAAACTATGCATATCTTGACAACTACAAAGCAGAGTTTGTATATATATATTTTAAATGCCTTTATTTTTGTGGCAGGAACACAATCAAAACATGCTAATAAATCAATAAAAAATATCTTCATGTATGTTCGCCTGCATAAATTGGAGCTTTGGAATTGAAGTGAAATTAATTAAAAAAAAAAAAGTTTAATTTTTGAATTACTTTCTTCAATTCCACCAATTTCAATTTCAATTTCAATTTCAATTTCAATTTCAAAACTCTAATTTCATACACCCGAATATAACCTTAATTAACATAATACCGCATTTAATCATATATAAATGACGAAAACTAAAATTAGAATTGCAACAGGTGTGGCTGAGATGGTGGCTATCTTCCTAAGCTTCTCTCTGTGGAAGTTTGATAGCCACACTTGCATTCAAAGTTGTAGTGGGTTGAATCATTATTGGGCCGACTTGAAAGGACCACAGTTCAATTGTGTGGTTTGTCCACACCTATTTTTAGCCCAAGAATTGACTACCCATCTCTCACCTCAGAGGATGAAAAAAAGTGTGAAAATGATATATATATATACATATATATATATATATATATTAAACGACGGAAATGACTGCTCGGGAAACTAACTGATTTTATAATTATACCTTCACATATTAAAGCAAGGATGTTGCTTGAAGGACAAAGGTGCAGAAAAGAAAAGAAAAAAGGGAGGAGAGCACATTTCCTTTCTCCTTTGCAACTTTTGAACAGAAAATTTTTTGTGAGCCCAAAAAAAAGTCTCCCTCTCTCATCTTCCTTTCCCTTTGCCTTCCTGTTCACCCATTGCTCTCCTTTTCCTTTGTCAAATTCCTTTCGCGCAATTCTCCCTCCTTCAAAAACAAACCATATGACCCTCACTAGCTACATGTTTTGTCCTACGAGAAAAACTGATAGTAAATTATAAACATCATTTTATGAGGAATGTTAATTGCAGTCGCATTGTCATTTCACAGTCGTTGTTAGAATTGGTTAGTTTTAAATACACTAATTACTTAAGTTTCTATTTTAATGAAACTCTATAAACATTACTTTTTTAGACAAACATACCCTTTTAACTTTCTAACCTTTCTTCTTCTCTCCCTTTTTAATCTATTCGTATAGAAATGTGTGCCTGTGTATATATATATATAATAACTTCTTCTATGTGAATGAATTCTGAAAAAGAAAATAAAACTATAGATAGGATAATCCATTCTCAAGAAAAAAAGAGCTAGAACAAAATTCGAAAAGAAAAAAATAATAATAATAAAAAATAAAAAAGAACTTGAAAAGAATCCATATACAAGATAGATTCTAAGAATTTTTAAAAAATACAAAATTAGTTATATATATATATATATACACACGTATATCTATCTTGGTGAATGAATTAATTGTTTTTTTTTTTTTAAAATCCATTTAAACAAGGATAGTTGTAAAAATAAAAAATAAAAACAAAAAGAAACACAGTGTGTGTGTATATATATATATATAGGGAAAACCAAAAAAAAAAAAAGAAGAAGGAAAGAATTCATTCACTCGAGGATAGTTGTAAGAAGAAATATATAATCGATCTCACAATCCATCTTCTACATGGATTCTTTTTTTCTTTTTCTTTTTTTACCTTTCTTTTTATTATTTTCAAGATTTTTTTTTTTTTCAGAATCCATCCATCTCTTATGAATGGATTATACTGTCTACATTTTTTTTTTTACCTTTTTCAATATCCATTCACATAACAGTAGTTATTATATATATATATATATATATATACAATTATACACACACACAGGCACACATTTCTATATGGATAGATTAAAAGATTTCTATATAGATAGATTAAAAGGGGAGAGAAGAAGAAAGGTTAGATAATTTAAAAAGATATATTTGTCTAAAAAAGTAATGTTTGTAGAGTCCCATTAAAATAAAAACTTAAGTAATTAATGTATTTAAAACTAACCAATTCTAACAGCGACTGTGAAATGACAGTTGCTTACGGCGATTGAGATTAGCATTCCTCTCATTTTATTTTTAACGCTTTACAAGAATTCTTACCGTTAAAAGACTGTCATTTGTTTAATTGGATCGTATTCCCCAATATCGTTCTCACCTGGCTGTTTCTGGGCTTGGCCCTATTGTGTTTAGCTTATCAAAAAAGAGGGCCTCGTAGTTAGGCAAACCTGGTCAGAACTGAAAGAGAGTGAAAATAGGCCCATCTAGCTCAACTAATATGAGCTGGAGTCAAACTGGGCTGGGCTGGGTCAAAAAAAAAATGTGGGCTATAATGGTATTTTCTTAATGAGTGCGGGTGTGTGATTGTGTTTCTTATTAATAAAAAAATAAAAAAAATTACCAGAAAAACATTTAAGAGCTTACTTGCTACTTGAGAACTTGTCCATAGACTCTTTAATAGAGAACACACATATATTTATGAATGTGTTATAGTAAAATATTAATGCACATGTGGTCTGCAACTGCACGCTGTTGTTGATAATTGATGTGGGTTATCACTTCATATTACAGTTGATGTGGCCCTTTCACACTAACTGTCGCCTTTCTGTGTAACTTTAATGGAAGGCCCTCACTCCTAAGTGTACTGACACAGTTGCCACGTAAATTTTGGACAAAACTAATAGGTAAACCAAGTTCTGTTTCCTTTTTACAATGATAAAAGGACAAACAATGTTATTTAAAACGAAAATTTAAACTGAAAATGTTTATCCTTCGAATTAGGTGTCAAAGTCCGTGAGAGCACGTGTCCAAATGCTTAGAGGGCTCACAAAACCTCTACTGATTTTTAGTGATTTAATTAGCTAGCCTTTGATTTAGTTGACTTTACCATTTTACCCATATAAATTATCCCAATTTGAATGTGTCATCTGCTGAAAGTTTCTTTGTGAAGCAATCTCAAACTTCAAATTGCAAACAATGGCATTGGAATTTCCATGTGCACATTGAATCCCCCATTCCCCTTGGGACTAAAAATCAACCATATAATACTCACAACTGAAAGTTTCAGTGTGAAGCAATCTCAAGCTTCAAATTGCAAACATTGGCATTAATGGTGCATATTCAATCCCTGCTGTTCCAGCTTGTCACTAAGAATCCCATTTTTCACCAAGCACTCAAGTACAAGAAGTTCCTTTTTTGGTAAATAAACTTCATAACTACCAAAATGGTTAAAAATAGAAAGAAAAAAATAGGGAGTTAGCACATTCTAGTAACCGTCTCTTCTCAACGGTACCCACCTATGGCTTTATATCAATTCTTAAAATAAAATAAATTTTTTTTTTTTTTTTTAAAAAAAAAAAAAGGAGAAAAAAACCTTACCTAACAAGATATTCACGAAATACCTATCTCACCCTTGTCAAGATTAAAATTTCCTTTTACATTTTTTTTTTGGTTCGCTTTACACTCTTTTAAGTTTTGATAAATTACGACCACCTTCCTTAAAGTTTAAACAATTAATATAGTATTAGACCGTTTAAAGTTTGTTATTTTAACCTCTTCTCAGATTTGGCATATGTGCTTTGACACTCTAAAATTTTCTTTCCAAAATACCTGTTAATCAAATTTTATAAAATTTTGTCTTTCCCTTATC